TTAGCCATCCTGTTGGGAGGAAAGGAGGTCAGTGGGCTTCAGGCTCCAGGCAGCCGGCCTGCTGGGGGAGTAGCCCCCTACCCCGAGCTCTGCAGCATCAGCGATCAGAGTCCTGGACCCTCGAGACCCCATCTCCAGGGGTTCCCCCAGGCATTTCTTGGCTTTTGCAGAAAGTGGGGAGGGAGGGAATCTCGTCCAGCTCAAGAGGAAGACTGCCCAGGTGTGCGGGCCTCTGGCACATCCTTGCTCCCCCAGGCGGGTGGGGGTCAGAAGTGCCCAGCGCAGGTGGCTATGAGGTCTCCTGGGGGTCTCAGACCAGCAGCAGGCCTCGTGTCTGTTGTCCCCCCCCCCACCCCGTGCCCCTTCCTGGGGCGCAGGTCCAGGGTGGCGTGTGGCTATTCAGCCCCGGCCTCTGCGACGCTCTCATGGCCATGGACGTCATGCTGTGCACGGCCTCCATCTTCAACCTGTGCGCCATCAGCGCGGACAGGTGAGCTGCAGCCGCCTGCCCCGCCCAGCCCCGCCCAGCCCCGCGCCCCTCCGCGCCCTCACCGCGCCCCTCCCCTGTCCCGGCCGCCCGCGCCGCGCCCCCCCACAGGTTCGCGGCCGTGGCCGTGCCGCTGAGCTACAACCGCCAGAGCGGCGGCGGACGTCAGCTGCTGCTCATCGGCGCCACGTGGCTGCTGTCGGCCGCGGTGGCTGCGCCTGTGCTGTGCGGCCTCAACGACGCGCGCGGCCGCGACCCCGCCGTGTGCCGCCTGGAGGACCGCGACTACGTGGTCTACTCTTCCGTGTGCTCCTTCTTCCTGCCCTGCCCGCTCATGCTGCTGCTCTACTGGGCCACGTTCCGGGGCCTGCGGCGCTGGGAGGCCGCCCGTCGCACCAAGCTGCACGGCCGCCGGCCGCGCCGGCCCAGCGGCCCCGGCCCGCCGCCCCCCGAGGCCGTCGAGACCCCCGAGGCCATCCCGACCCCCGACGCCACTCCGGCCGAGCCCCCGCTGCCGGCGAGCGACGAGAGGCGCGCCAAGATCACGGGCCGCGAGCGCAAGGCCATGAGGGTCCTGCCCGTGGTGGTCGGTGGGTACCGGCCTGGGGTCGGTGGGCGGAGGGGAAGCGGGCAGCGCCCACGGCGGGAGATGGAGCCTGGGGCAGGTGGGGGGCGCCGCAGGGACCGCGGCTCACCGGCTCACCGAGCCGTCCGTCGCCCCGCCCCGCCCCCAGGGGCCTTCCTGGTGTGCTGGACGCCCTTCTTCGTAGTGCACATCACCGGGGCGCTGTGTCCCGCCTGCGCCGTGCCTCCGCGGCTGGTCAGCGCTGTCACCTGGCTGGGCTACGTCAACAGCGCCCTCAACCCCCTCATCTACACGGTCTTCAACGCCGAGTTCCGTGCGGTCTTCCGCAAGGCCCTTCGCCTCTGCTGCTGAGCAGCCCCCAGCCCGCACCCGAGAGTCCTCTGCCGGGGACCTGGCGGCGCCTCTGGGGGCAGGACCCCAGCAAGGGTGGGGGCGGCTTTGTCGGGCTGATTAAACCAGTACCTTCCTGAACACCTGCTGGAAAGGCCGGTGGTGGGGAGTGAGGCGAGGGGAGGAGGGGGTGTGCGGGTGCTCGGAGGAGGAGCTTCGGCCCCACGTGGAGCCCAGACCCCCGACTAAACCGACCTGGCCAGCTAAGCCCCTCCCTCCTGAGGAAGCCCAGAGAACAGACCCCACAAAGCCGGCTCCAGGCTGGGGTGGGAGGTGAGGTGGGAGGCAAGCCAGCTCTGGGAGGGCAGTGGAGGGAAGCTCCAGGGAGGCCCATTCAGCTTATCCCAGGGAGAAACTTCCAGAACCAGCGCAGCCCTTGCCCGGGAAGGCCGGGACTCTGCGGGGCTGCCTACAGGCTCACTTACCATGATTCACACCATCCTCCAAAAGGTTCCCTCCTGACACCCCCATCCCAGCTGTCTCGGGTCAGCAGCCTCAACCCCCTCGGCCCAGCCGGTGCCCCTCTCTCAGTGGGAGAGTGTGGACAGCTGTCCTGCAGGCTGGAACATGGCAGTTTCCTGAGACTGTCCTTTCCCCAGTGGGAAGACAGCCCCGCCCAGACCGGGCCCCTGCTTCAGCAAGGAACTCCAAGGTGGCCCCGCACCCCTCTCCAGGGAGCGGGCCTCGGCCACCATTTTGGTGGCTGCCCCCAGGTCAGAGCACAGCTCCCTGCCTGCTCAGCTTTGACGAAGTCCAAAGCCCTGAGGAGACAGGGCTGGGGTGCTGGCTGGGCCCAGCGAGGCGGCCTCCCACCCCTCAGAGGAGGTGCCTGGCCCAAGGCAAGGCCGAGCCACCAAGCCGCCATCCTGGGGGGGTGGGGGCAGCTCTCAGCCCCTCCAACCTGCTCTCCCAGTCCTGGGGCCCAAACTCACAAGAGCACGGGGCTGCCCCTCCCCGCCTGTGGGTACTCGCCCTCCCTTGCTCAGGGTCTCCGTGGGAGGGAGGCGAGAGCCACCTGGTAGACCCTGGCTCTGGTGGCTCCTTGAGTTTCTGGCACCTTCTTGCCCATGAAATGTGAGGATGGTCACAGCAGACACCCTGGGTCTCCCCACAGGGAGCAGCCCTGATGTGGGGACTGGAGGTCCAAATGGCACAACGGAGCTGTCCCGACTGGCTATCCCAGGCACAGATGGCCCCTCCTGGGGGTCTCAGACTTGAAGACCAGGGAGGGTCCCTGGGGCCCCCGGTGGAAGGCAAGGTCAGAGCGACACCCCTGCCCCTGTGCCCTCTGATGCTCCCGCCATGGGCACCTGTGGAGCCCCTGCAGGTAGACAGCGAGCCGAGCCCTTGACCAGCACCGCATGGCAACGGCCGGCCCCTCCCGAGCTCAGCTCTGTCCCTCGGGTGCGCTCCTCACCTGCGTGTGCGGGCAGGGCTGACCCACCCGTGAGCTGCACCTGCCCTCGGGCCGAGCTGGGAACAGGCTGGGAGCTGCTGGGGACCCCATATTGACCCCACTGGCCCTGGAGGCAGAACCTGCAACTCCCGCAGCAGAGGACAAGGTGTGCACTGGGGGTGGGGGTGTACACACAGAGCCACAGAGGGCCTGGCTACCTGGGAAGCCCCCGAGGAGCCCCGGCTGTCCAGCTCACTCAGCCACCCCCACCGACGCCCAGGGTCACCCCAGCCTGCAGCTCCCTGGAGCTTCGGCTCAGAAGACCCACAGCACCCCGAGTGGCCTGGCCTGTGCCGACTGCTGGCCCCTCCCCTGTCCCCCGAGGCTGCACCCAGCAGGAGATGCTGTCAAAAGCCTTGACCCAAACTCCTGAGGACCCGCAACGAACCCCGTTCCTCCCGTCTCCTGCCCACCCCCCAGGCGCGGCCACACAGAGAACACTTCGTGGCCAAGAAAGGAGACACTGTGAAAAACCGTCCCCAAAACATGCGGTCCTGAGGGCTCTACTTTTTTCTTCTTACTTTACGGAGGCCCCATGCTCAGTGTGGGGCCCAGTGCGGGGCTTGAACTGTCGACCCTGAGATCATGAGTTGGCCACCTAACCGAATGAGGTACCCAGGTGCCCCCACCCCGGGATGGAGCCAGCCCCATGGTGGTGGTGTGGGGGCGGAGCTTTACTTGCAAGGACTCTGGTGCTTACTTTGTGAGCATTTTTGGGTTGGAGAGGTTGCTTCCGAAGGTGCAGACCCCTGGGGTGGGGCTGACGTGCTCCCCCCACCCCAGGGAAGCAGGCCCATGGCCAAGGGTTGAGAACTGCTCCCTTCCCGCCGCGTTCTGTCTGCAGTGGCGGAAAAACCGCTCCACGTGTTCGATGAAGGTGCCCCGGGGGAGATGGTCTGGGGCACACGATGGGGCCAGGGTCACATCCCACTGCCAGCTCCTTAGCCTTGGGCACAGGCCCCGACTTCTCGGCCTCCATCTCCCCGAGAGCTGGTGGCAGAGGCAGGAAGATGAACTACAGGGGCTCCGGTACTTGTTAGACTCAGTAAAAGAAAAACCCAAAGCACCCAGCTCAGCTGAAGAGCTCAAGGAGCACAGAGGCAGAGCGGGGTTCCGGAGAGCGGGGCTCCTGGTGGGCTCCCTGAGAGCCGCTGGCTGCGCGTCTGTCCTAAGCCCAGGGCCAGGCCGGCCCCGCCCCGGGGACGAGGCTGAGTAGGAAGTAGCGGCTTCTGCGACTCCCGAGCTCACGGCCCTGCCCGTCACCGCTGTGGATGCCCCCTCAACCCACTCCGGAGCCGGAGCCGGCGTCCCAAAAGCCAAGTCTCTAGGGTGCTACCAACTTGGAAGAACTTTCCGGAAGTAAGAATCCGGGTGGGGGGTGTGTGTGCAGGGCTGGGGATGGTCTTCCACGCCCTCGCAGGCGTGAGCACACGCGGCTCACTGAAACGGCACTTGGAGGCGCGCGTCAGAACCGCGGCACCATCCCCACAGGTGGGTCTCAGCCCCCCCCCCCCCCCCCGAGGCAGGGCCGGCTCGCCACCACACAGCAGATGCGTGCGGTGCACCTTCTCCCCCCACGCAGGGGAGCCTCCGAGCCTCGGGAGTGCAGCGAAAATGGTGAAGGCCGGCCACGGGTTCCAGGGCCCCAAGGGCATTTCTGGAAACCCACAGAAGCTTCCAGAACGCAGGTGACAGTTCCTCAGGCACCGCTCCTGGTCAACGGGGGAGGAGGTCCTGTTTCCAGGGCCAGCCGAGCCTGACACCCCAGGCGCTGGGCCCCGTGACCCCTCTGCCCTCTGCCCCTCAGAGCAGGGGGGGGGAAGCAAGGCCTCACCTCTGAGCCGTCAGGGTTCTCAGGGCGGAACCTCACGCTGGAGCAGAGAGGAAGGAAGCCAGGGCTGCGTCACTGGAGAGACGGGACAGGAGGGGCCCTGTGCCTGGGGCAGCACCGCCCGGCGCTCGGGCCTCTGCGGGGTGAACGCTGCGGGCTGGCCTCACCGCTGCCCCCTGCAGTCAGGAGAGAGGAAACTGGGGCCCACCCACCTCCAGGGCATCTGGGAAGCTGGAGCTGGAGTCACTCGTCCCGGGGGAGCAGGGAGGTCACCTTTATTGACAGACACATGTTATGTACACGTGTGTTACACACACGTCACACCTGTGGGTAAGACCAGGAGCTCGAGATCCAGGGGATAAAAACAGCACCGAGAGAAGGCGCCAAGGGCCCGGGGCCTGCGTCCACCAGCCGCTGCCCCAACCTCCCTCAGGGCTTCTGGGTGGCGGGAGCTCATTTCTGAGGGCACAGGTCACTTAAAGTCTGTTAACAACTTGACCAGCAAGTGTTTTCACCTTCTCCTCAACGTCCCCCGAGGTCCCCAGCCCCCGACAGCTCCGCGGCACCAAGGCGGGGGGACCCGGGGACCCTCACACGGTGACTTTCTCCATCACGCTGTCAGTGACGTGGACTTCATCCGCCTGGACAGTGACGGCTGCCGACTGACCACACAGGTGCTGGTGGTCCTTCCAGTCCTGCAAGGAGAGCACAGCCCCCCGTTACCACGAGCGGCCACCTCACCGCGCAACGGGGGCAGGGCCTGGGGCGGGGGCCACCCCCGACGTGCAGCCTCTGCTCTCGGCCCAGCCTTGCCTGCCAGCTCACGTGGCAGACCACTGGGACGAGCCTGAAACACACTGAGACCCAGAAGCACGTCTACACTCTGGCCCTCCTGCCTTTCCGAGGGACACACAAAAGAAATACTCGTGTGTACAAGGAAATTTTTATACCTCATATTGTTGCCCACGGTTTTATTTGCAATCCCAAAGTAAGGAAAGCTGGAGCCAGCCACGAGTCCACAGAACGGTTTGGTGGCGCTGGCTCACGGGAAGACTGGGGACAGAGGCTGTTACCAGCCTGTTTGCGGGCAGAAAGAGAGCTGAGCTCCGGCGAGGCTGGAGCCGTGTGCAGGCCGTGTGGAGCCGCCTCTCGGCCCAGATGGCTTCTGCAGGAGGCTTGGCGGCCAGGGCCAGCAAGGGCGTTAGTCAAAACAGACATAACCCTAGACAAGGTTAGCGTTTGATTAGAAAGTGACAGGACACGAGGGACTGTAAACACGCTCGGGGGAAACACACGCACCCACACGCTAACAGGTGGTTTCTAGGACGGCAGGACTCCTGCCATCTTCGTGCTGTCCTCCGTTCTCCAAATGCCCTACAGTAAGTGCGCCCTCTTTTTACAATAAAATAGTGACATTTAAAAGCACTGTATCAGGGCGCCTGGGTGGCTCAGTCATTAAGCATCTCCCTTTGGCTCAGGTCATGATCCCAGGATCCTGGGATGGAGCCCCATGTTGGTGGGGGGGTCCCTGCATGGCAGGAAGCCTGCTTCCCCCTCTGCCTGCCACCCCCCCCCCCGCTTGTGCTGTCTTGTTGTCTCTCTCTCTGTCAAATAAATAAGGAAAATCTTTTTTTTTTTTAAGATTTTATTTATTAATTTGACAGACAGAGATCACAAGTAGACAGAGAGAGAGAGGAGGAAGCAGGCTCCCCGTGGAGCAGAGAGCCCGATGCGGGGCTCGATCCCAGGACCCTGGGATCATGACCTGAGCCGGAGGCAGAGGCTTTAACCCACTGAGCCACCCAGGAAAATCTTTAATAAAATAAAATAAAATCGTTGTATCAAAAAAATGGAAGTCTAACTTGGAATTACCTAAAATAAACTCTGTAAATCCTCACAGTGTGTGAGCCCTCCCAGGCTGGCGTCAGGTCCGCAGCGTCTGGAGCCCTACATGACAGTTAACTCAACCTGCATCATGGCGGCATATGGGACGGCGGGAATCATACGTGTTTTGAGAGAAAACAGGAAACTGGCAAAAGTTCTGAGAACCCATGCCCACAGCGTGATCTCCGCTAAAGACCTTTGCCCTGCAGACGACACCGGTGAGAAAGTGAGCGGACAAGTCACGGCCGGGAGGAAACGTGTGGAGTCAGGAGTCCGAGGAAGGACCGCGTCCAGGTGTACAGAGCCCTCCGCGCACAGGGGAAAATATTTGAACGGATGTTTCCTCCAAAAAGACACACCAACGCCCACCGAGCGCAGGAGAGGACGCATGGCCTCCCAGTAACAGGGGAGGGTCCTCAGCGTCCCCGGTTACGGGCGGAGTGTGGATTAACCACACCGGGGCACCGCCGGACCTGGTCCAGACAGCCACAGCCTGCCGCACGGCACCCAGTGTGGGAAGGCAGTTGGGAAAGCGGTTGGGAACTTTCTCAGCAAAGCTAAACTCAAACTTACAGACAACCCAGCACGCCTGCACCACTGTGTCCAGCTGGACGTGCGGACACGTGCACACCCGAGAAGGCACACCGCACGGGGCACGGGCCGGCGACGACGCGTGCCGCTGGCGCGGGAGCAGAGGCGTGTACACCTCACAGCGGACGGGCCAGGCAACCACACGGAGCCGAGAGGCCAGAGGCCGAGACCACGCAGCCCAGGACTCTGGGCACTGAGCTGCCCGCAGAAGGCAACTCTATGCACAGCCTAGAACCGTGGGGGCCGCGGGTTCTTCCAGGGTGGCGGACGGTTCTGACGGGGAACTGTGCTGTGGCACCGGTGCGACGTGCATTTTGAACAATCCCTCAGTTGCACCTGAAAAGGGGCGAGTTCTGCGGTGTGGCCGTCACCTGTCCACGAAGGTGCGCCCCACGTGCGGGCAGGGACGCAGGAAGGACGCAGTCCGAGGGCTGAAATCCACAAGGGTCCTGCCCGGGGCCACCTGGCAGCACCAACCCTCATCACCCGTTCTCGGGCACAGAGAACTGGGGGCAGCCCTTCTGGCGGGACCGCGTGGGTCCTGTGGTCAGCATCTCCGGCCGACTACGGGGGGCTCGGGTTCCCGGCTCTCCCTCATACCCCGTCCAGGGTTCATTTCGGGTCCAACATGGGATGTACAGTTTTCAAAACACATTTTCTACTAATTTGCAGAAATAAAAGCTCGTCTTCGTCCACACAACACACAGCGAAGGCGGCCCATGGAGCAGGGGAATCGGTTAACAAGCCTGAGCCTCGGAACCGCCTCCCAGTTCACAGACAGAGGCCCCAGACCCTAGCTTACATCCAGACAAAATCTGGTCTGAAAGAATCCCACCAAGAAATAAACCCACAGACCCTCCTGCGCAGGCCCCCGTTCAGGGCGGACGGCGGAGACCAGCCCAGAGCCCTGCGCCTTCCCGGCCCCACAGGTCAGGTCTCCTGCTCAGTCCTGGGCACGGGCTCCTGCCCCACGGTGCCCGGTGAACCCTGCCTCCATCTCCTCAGTGCAGAGCCTGCGGACAACCACTGCAGGGAAACACAGACAGATGGACAGACGGGAGGCAGGTTCCACCCCCCACAGACGCAGCTCCAGGCCACCAAGCCCTTGGCAGCAAAACTGGTGCACCGTGGGGGGTGGCAGGCAGGTCTCCGGGGACCCGCAGGATGGGAGAACCCGCCTCTTCCTCCCTGGGCCGCAGCCTCTGCCTTGTGAAGGCCTCAGACTCCTGCAGACCCGGCGCCCACCCCCCATCATCTCCGCCCCCTCCTGCCCAGCATTGCTACCCGGGCCACAGACTCACTGGGAGCCAAGGAGAGCTTCGGAAAGCCACCAAGTGGCAAGTGCCCTGGCTGGGGACAGGGTGTCAGCACGCACATGTCCACCTCGTAAAGGCAGCAGGAAGGCGACACTAACAGCTCCATTTGCCACTGCTCGTCCGCACAACACAATGCCTTCTCAGCTCTGCCAAGTCCGTCGGCGCCAAGAGGGAATTACACCCGCGGTCACCGTGCAGCTCAGCTCCTCGCAAAGTCCGCAGGAAGAGCTGCGAACACCGGCTCCCACAGCCACGACTCCAGAAATGCCCGTGAGCCCCGGGAGCAGAGATGCGGGCAGGGCCACCTGCTGGGGCCCACACCCAAGCGCCCGGGGCTGGGAAGTGTGGACTGTGGCAGCCTCAGGGCAGGGACCTCCCAAGGCCTGGCCACGGTACTCGCCACGGGCGGCTCCTTCAGGACTTTCACGGAGCCCGCAGACCCTGGGCAAACAGACTAGCCAGGGCGGGCGGGGGCTAGGCCTCCTGGAAGGGGCCGGGGCAGCGTCTCTGAGTGGGGAGTGGTGGGGGCGGGGCAGTGAGGACGCACCTTGCGCTGGCAGAAGGTCGAGCAGTAGTTCACTTTGTGGCAGCCGGTGCACTCGCTCAGGGCCTCCCGGCCACAGTTGACACAGGACTGCTGCAAGAAGGACACAGGCCAGTCAGTGTCACGGGGACGCCTCCCGCCCGTCCGCCCTCTGACATGTGTCCTCACCCCCAGTGATGCCCAGACGCTGTCCCCGTCACACCCACGGCCGGCTCCTTCTCTCTACCCAAGAGGGTCTACACGCTTCAGCCATGGCAGACACGGACACGGCAACACGCCGCCTTTTCCAGAGTCTGAGGAACTTCGTCGATGCCAAGCAAGTGGAGGATGCCAGCCCGGGAGCAACCTCCTTCACTGCTGGCAGCCGACCGCCATCAGTCGTGGCTGACACCGCCCGCGCCTGCAGACCCCTGGGCTGCGCCTGAGCGGCCGGGAGCATGCTGGGACCCCACGCCGCCACCCCATCCCCAGCTGCTGCACAACCCCAGCCTGTGCCGCCCCAGCAGCCCAGCCGGTCTCTATGTCCGTGGACACGCGCGCTCTGCGCGCTCTCCCCTGAATCCCGTAACTGGAGCTTTGCCTTTGAACGAAGTGAGGACTTCACGCAGGTAAGTGACCTGTCCCCAGCTGATCGCAGTGGCGCGGCCCGTGCAGGGGCCATCAAGCCGTGGGCTCCCCGCCAACGCCCCGGCGTGGAGACAGGTGCCAGGGACAGGCCGGGACACCGGGTCTGTAGAGGCCAGAGAACACAAGAGTGTCCCAGCGACACTGACGGCAAGTGAGGGCCTGTGCGCGTGGGGCGGGGGGTCAGGGTGTGGGCAGTGCCCACGTAAGGCAGACGCGCCCGCTGGTACCCGGAGGCCCGGCTCTGCGTGGGTCAGTGGCCGCAGCCGGCCTGCCGCAGGGCTCCGCTCTGAACGTCAGCTTCCTTCCTCACAAGCCGTCGTGTTTTTCCATGTCTAACGTTCTTCCGCTCATAAAACCACCCGGGGTGCACTGCTCGCTCCCGAAAGTGGGAGAAATGGCAGGAACCCAAGCGGCTCAGTTTGCCCCCTGCCTCTGCTTTGAGACAAACACGCAAAGGGAAGAAAGAAAAGACCGTCTAGAGCCACATACGGAAATTTCTCCAGGAAGAGTAAGGGCTTCCCAGGGTTCATGGCGCTGAGTGGAAGCAGAGGTGCGGCTGGGCGTGAGGCTCTCCCAGGTAGAGGCTTGGTGGGAGCACGCACCCGGGGGAGCCCTCATCCCTGCGCCCGGGGAGAGGCTTCACGCTGCAGGAGCAGGAGGGCTCCGAGTCCTCCCGCGTCTGTCCCCGCAGGGAGCACGTGCTCTCCCAGACCTCCCGGGTTCACGCTCCAAGCGCCCAGCGGTGTAGACGGGAAGCAGAGCCTCGGAACGGAATCGAAAGGTCACAACGGACAGCCGGCCGGAGATGGACACCGCCAGCGCGTGGGAGCGCCCCGCACCTCCGCCTGCCCCACACGCATGGTGGGTACGTATTTAACAGAAATCACACTGCGGTTCTCACCAGAGTCTGCCACCTCAGCTGCAGGTACAGACAGACGGACACGTACAGAAACACCGACCGGTCTGTACACGCAGGTTGTGAGCACACGCGGCTCCATCCGTCCGCCAAGGGGCCCAGAAGCTACGACGCCCCAGTGGCGGCGAGCACACTGGTCCCCGCAACTCGGTTCCCCAGACCGTCCTCCAGCGAGGGAATCAGGGCTCCCAGAGGAGAGGATAATTCCAGGCCTGGGGAAGGGGAGGCCAAGCCAGGTCTGGGGGGTCATCCAGCACCAGAAAGTGCACCAACGGGAGGATGCCAGAGGGACCCAGGAGCCAAGCGAGAGCACCCGTGGGCAGAGGGAAGAGCGTGAGCAGAGGAAGGAGCAGGTGCAGGGCACAACCGGACAGGAAGCACACGGCCACAAGCCATCCCGATGCGAACAAAGAAATGGACAGTAAACGAGTCTCTAACGCATAAGAATTCCAACGACACCCGGACGCCGCGCCCAGCCCTGCTGTGCCCTGCTGGGCGGGAGGAGGAACCCCTGAGCCTCCCACTGCCTGTGGCCTGCCCTCCAAGTGCCCAAGCTGAGCCTTGGGGTCTTGGGTCCTTCAGGGTTACATCAGGGCCTGAGGGTGGGCCTGTGAGGGATGGGTGCCCCGAAGAGAGCAGAGAGTGCTCCGTGCCCGAGGGGAGCCCACGACGAACACACGGGGTCCGCAGCCTGGAAGAGGCCCTCGGGGGCCCGAGCCCACAAGCCGGGCGGGCGCCCCGACTTGACCCCGGCCCAGGGCACTGTCCGGGCCCCAGGTGCCCACGCGCACCCCTCCACTGGGCACTTTTGTGCCGCGCCGTGCTTGGCTCTTCAAACTAAGAACGACCAGCACGAGGCTGAGGCACGGCGAAGGGCCGCTGGCGGCCGGGCAGGGCCATCAGCCAGGAGCACCACGGCCGGCCCCAGCCGGGGCCCAGGACCCCGAGGCCATGGGTCGGCTTCTGCTGGACACCGTGGCCCTGACAGGGAGGGAAGGGTCTGCTCTTCTGCCCCGTGGGACCGCTGCTGAGCTAATTACACGCGCAGGCGCAAACCACTCACGAAGAAAACTGCGAACGTGGGAATCGTCTCACCCGGGCCGAGTCTGCTTTTCTCCTTCTTCGCAATCGAGGACGGAACGTCCGGCGGGCGGTCGGAGGCAGCGACAGCCATGTTCTTGCTCAGGGAGCCCCCGAGGCAGGGTTCCCGGCATCTTCCTGACCCCTACGGCCCTCACAGCTCGTGTCCTGACCCTGACCCCCCAATACTCCTGGGGACATACTCCGGGACAGGCTGCACCGCGGTCTTTCCAGTCAAGCAGCCAGCAGCGTTTGCTCTTCTAACCCCAAACACGTCCCCACACCGCAGTCACACCAAAGGACGCCCCGTGATGGCACAAAAGCCTGTGTTCTCCATGGGCGGGAGCTCCAGGAAGGGAGATCTGCTTTCACACTGGCCCACGTCCAACACTCCTGTCACGGCGAGTCCCGCTACAGAGACACTTGGCGGTCTCCACACGAAGAGCCCAGACAGCCCGCGGGCCCACCCGGCTCTCCGGCCGCCTCACAGGCCTCTGTCCCTATGCTGTGGGCTGCTTCTCGCGGCGGGACACCTGCTCTGGGCTTCCCCCTTCACACCGGCTCACGGGGGGGGCCTTCCTGCCCTTCCAAACCCCGCCAGGCCCCAGAAGGTCCCTGACAGCAGGCTCTCCATGGGGGCCGCGAGGTCCCCTCACTTCACAAGACCACAGCATGCAAGCGTGGCCACCACAGGGCCACAGAGCTCAGACCTGTCGTCCCCCATGTGCATAACCAGGGTCTGCAAGTGCACGCGACGTCACCAGGCCACCCACGGAGCAGGGCTCCATGTACCGAGGCTGCGCGGTCTCCCCGCTCCCCGGCCTCCCTCAGGCGCCCGGCTCCCCACAAAATCATTTAAGAATGACACGTCCTGTCCAGGGCTCGAGAGAAGACAGACGCGCCTGTCACAGGTCCCGCTGATTTCACTGCGCGGGACACGGACAGCAGATGGATGTGCTCAGCAGGGAAGACACGGACCCAGAAGCGGCCCTTTCACAGAAACGCTATGTTCTCCCACCTGCGGCATTTTTGAGGATAAAAGCATTTCGTGTCTGTTTCTTTCTTAAAAATACGTAAAATTACCAATAAAATCCAAAGCCCCACCTTCTGGGGGGGGGTAACCTTACCAACCCAGCCACAGGCAAGAGACTGGCCCCTGTGTCACACACTTTTCCCAACAGGAGTTCGGCTTTTGGACCCTGAGTGTGAACGGAGAACATGTGTGCTCTTGCACGGGAGAAAGCGGACACGCCGGCGGCCCCAGTGCTGAGCTCCACGCCGCTGAGTGTGGCCGCAGCCCTGGCAGACGGACACGCCCCCACACTGTGTCTCCGTGTGCTTTCATGTCTGTCCCATTCGTCACTGGAGAATTCTGACCAAGGGTCACCTACAAATTCTATTCTGTGACAGAAAAGCCCACGTGAATGAGTGCGGAAAAATCTAAAACCAGAACCCCCTCCCCCGCTCCTTTCCTCGCCAGCTCGAAGCTGAGATTTCTGTGCGGCTGGTGCCACCTGGACCCGTCTGACAGGAGCTGTGCTCACAGGGAGGGGGTCCCAGTGCCCCCGGCTGGGGGGAGCGCACAGAGCACAGGGTGTCCCCAGACGCTAGTCTCCGCAGCACGAAACCAGGCTGCGCCAGCCACCAGGAATGGGCGCCTACCAGGTCCCCCCGGGACAGGGAGCCCGCAGCTCAGTGACCATTCTGAGTAGGAACACCAATGTCTGTTTTCCCGTCTATGCTTCTGGGTACAGTCTGAATTAGCAAAACGCAGACACTTCTTCCTTTTCAGTCCCTAGAAGCTGCCCGGGCAGCTGCGCAGGGACGTGCCTCTCCTTCCCAGAAGGACACTGCTGGACAGACAGAAGGAGCAGTCGGGGAGCTGGCAGCTGGCCCGTGTGCGGCCTGGACCGCAGGACGCCGGGGAGGAGGCTTTCCGTCACAGCTCAGATCCCTTCCTCACCCTTAATTTTTTTTTTTTTATTTTTACTTCTTTAAAGATCTTATTTATTTGAGACATAGACAATGACAGAGATAGTGAGACTGAGGGCGGGCAGGGGAAGCAGGAGAAGCACACTCCCCGCTGAGCAGGGAGCCCAATGTGGGGCTCGATCCCAGGACCCCGAGATCATGACCTCAGCCAGACGCAGACGCTCAACCGACTGAGCCACCCAGGCGCCCCTTTCCCCACCCTTTAAAATGATCCCCCAGGTCCCTTTTAACTCTGGGGGAAGATCCCAGCAACACCCATTCAGCCCCTGGCGGTACGTGCAGCCTCACAGGGGACCCAACGCACAGCTGTCACTTTTACCTTTTACAATCACATTGACTTCACGGGGCTTGAACTCACAACCCCGAGACCAAGACCTGAGCTGAGATCAAGAGTCAGATGCCTAACTGACCAAACCACCCAGGAGCCCCTAAGAGTACTTTTTCTAAGCAAACACAAATACCGATTTTAAGATGGGCAGAGGGCCTGCTGAGAGACGGCCCCGGCGCAGACGGCGGGTGGTCCGTTGGCTGGGTGTCCTCGTGTCCCCGAGGGGATGCACAGCACAGGGAGACACCCCCTCCCACCCGCTGGGCGGCCTGAGCCTCACTGTCTGCATGACATCAGCACTGCCGCCAGGCTTCGGGAGGAAAGGGGGCACGGTGCCCGCGCCACAGCCACGAGGCACACCTTGCGCCAACCAATGCCAGGACAGAGGCACGGGGCTCAGTGGGGCCATGAGCACCCACAGCCGCCACCCAGACCGCTGACCACGGGAGAGCCGGCTCAGGAAGCGGCCAAGCAGCACCACAGAGCCTCTCGCTGACACAGGATTTGGCCTGAGACCAACATCAGGAAGAAATCTAGAAAATCCTCAAACATTTGAGAAGCTACCAATCATTATCTTTAGGTAAAGAGCTTAAGATTTTTTTTTCTGCTTTTCTCTTTTTTTACAGAATTTATCATGGATTATGTACTACTTTAAAATTATAGTTTTTCAAAAAATATTTTAAACTTATCTGCTTCTTCAAGGGAGCAACATTTTTCTTCCTTGGAAAAGAAACCATACATTAAGAAATCATTTAAGAAATTAAGATCCCAAGATGGGAGAGGAGAAGGGAGTTGGGGGAAATCGGAGGGGGAGATGAACCACGAGACACTGTGGACTCTGAGGAACTAACAGGGTTTTGGAGGGGAGGGGGGGTGGGGGATTGGGAGGGCCTGGTGGTGGGTATTAAGGAGGCAGGTACTGCATGGAGCACTGGTGTGGTGCATAAACAATGAATTCTAGGACACTGAAAAGAAATTTTTAAAAAATTAAGAACCCAGGGGTGCCTGGGTGGCTTAGCCGGTTATGTGTCCGCCTTTAGCTCAGGTCATGATCTCAGGGTCCTGGGATCGAGCCCCGCATCGGGCTCTCTGCTCAGCGGGGGGCCTGCTTCTCCCTCTGCACTGTCCCTCCCCCTGCTTGTGCGTGAGATAGACAGACAGATGACATCTTTAAAGAAAGCACCACCACCATCGCCTGGCCAGCGTGCTCCCAGCCTCTGCTCCATCCCTGTGCGACCGAGCGGACCGCACTCCACTGCACACAGACCGCCCCCGCAGGTGCACGCCTGCGTCCTTGTGTCCACGGTGGAGGGAAGACAGGCCCCCCGCAACGGAAAGGCCGTGCGAGAAAAGCCAAAGGGGTGAGACTTCTCTGTGCTGCAGCGACCAGCTGCCGTGAGAAAGCGCTCTGTCCCAAGGCCCATGAACCCTGAGCCACGCTTGGGATCTTACTTCTGAAGAACACGATGGAAGCTGTAAGGGAAACGCCCACAACGGTGCCCAAGGGGCCAAGGAGGCGGTCTCTGCGGGGCACTGAGATGCAGGCTAGGACGGGAAAAGGGGTAGAAATGGGAAAGCCATGTGCCTGCCCACCAGCTGCCTCCAAGACAGCCCAGAGGAGGCCTCTGCAAACTGCACAGAGCCGACGGTCTGAAAGTACACACGACATCTGTGACAGGTGAGGGTCCAAAGCCAAGTACCATGGGCCAGTGCAGAGCGTCTCTCCCTCTCGAAATACACCAACCCCATTTACAAGGACAGAAACACCCGAGCAGGGAGAGCAGACAGCGTCCTCTGAGAAAAGCTTCGTTTGTGAACGATTCTCTGGTCCCGCTCTTCCAGAAAGGTGGGGACCGTAAGCCGACGTAGACAGCGCACAGAGGGCCCCCAAGCCGGCGGAAGGCGCAGGGCAGTCAGCCACAGACCGGGCCTTCTGCTCAGCCTGACATTACCTCTTTCCGCTCTGTCTCTGCCTGGACTCGGGCCTGGGCCACGGCCGCTTCTCGGTAGGAGCTGGCCTGCTTGGCCTGCTCGAACAGCGTCTTCAGCTGCTGCGCCGTACTGAGCAAGGAGTTGACCATCTCTTCCAGGTACAGCCAGCTCCGCTGCTCTGACATTTCCAGCCCGTTGACCACCGTGGGAGACACGGCTTTGGTGGGGGTGGAGGGTGGGACCGCCAAGGCCGGCAGAGAGGTTAACACTGGAACAGTTGGAAAGTGAAATGAAACAAGAAATCAATACACTTCCTTATTAGGTTTCAATACGGAGCGACGCCAACATGGGTCCTTCCACGTTTCGGTAACACTGAGCACGCCTTGCCGTCCCCAGAGACACCAGCGAGGCCGCAGGGACCGCGCACCCCACAGGCAAGATGGCGCGAGAGCACCGCCTCCCTTGGCAGGTCCCCGCAGTGGCTCGGGCCCCCCACGGGCCGTGGGCCGCCACGTAGGCCGAGCTCTAACAGACACGCAGCCACAGACGCGGGCCGCGGAGGGGACTTCGCCAGCCCCCGCTGTAGCGCCCCAACTGGAAAAACCCAGACAAAACCCGCTTTGCCTCCAAAGTGCACCTTCATGAGCAACTCGGGGGCTCCCAGCCCGCAAGCCGGGCGCTCAGACCCACCTATTTTGGGATGAGATGTCGGCAATGCAGCTTCTGGAAACGGTGCGATCTGACAGCTGTCCTGGTAGCCTGGGTAGTGGGGCTCCGGGTGGCCGACTCTGCAGGAGGGCTGCACCCCTGCCTCTCGCACTGTCGGGACACACGGGACCAGCCGGCCTGCTGACCTGACTCGGCTGCCCGGGTCAGTGGGGGCGGCAGAGATGCTGGAAGCGGGGTACCCCGGCCACGCCGAGCCCCAGCTGCGTCTCTCTGGCTTTTGGCCGCCGCTCCCGCAGCCCCTACCAGTGCTCCCAGGGGCTTGTGCTGCGCGGCCGGCTGACAGCAGCCGTGGGCGGACCAGAGCACTTCCTGTGACGCCGGTGGCCCCGCACCCCGCACGCCTGCCCGGCGCCCGCCCACACCCACCCATCCCAGGCCTCAGCTCCACGCTGCCCCCACCACGCCCCAGGTCAACAGGGGTGACGGGTCCCCGCGGAGCAGGTGCTGAGGACAACTCACCCGTGGCTCCTGCGAAGACATCGCCCTGGGCCGGGCTCTCTGAGATGACGGCGGTAGCCTCCACAGTGGACGCCCGGTCAAAGGTCAGCGCGCCCGAGGTAGTGATCTGTCCTGAGGGGGTCACGGTGACTGGAAAAGCACAAGTACCTTTCACCACCCAGCTCACCCACGGGGCAGGCCCCAGGCACCTCTGCAAAGGCAGGAAGAGACCAGGGACCCTGGGTGCCGGAGAGGGGACCCTGGGCACCGGGGAGGGGACCAGGGCCGAGGCACGGGTGGCAGGCTCTCCATGACACCCCGCTCACATCCCGAATGGCCACAGAGGCAGGAAGGGCCTCAGCAGGAATGAGGCACAAAGCATAGGCGCCCCAAGGGCTGCTCCCCGTGGCCCGACTCTGCCCGGCCACTGCATGTCCGCAGCCTCTGCGGGGCCCGGCACCGGCCCGACACGCGGCCCCCCAGGACGAGCCTGCCCCACGCCCTCGGTCCCTACCTCCCCGCCTGGGCCACAAACGCGGACTTTCCCCCTCTTCCCAGCTGTTCACGGGCCGTGGGCACCCACACCCAAGGAGAGCCTTTGCTGGGAAGGTGCTCGTGCAGACCACCCTGCCCGGGAGCAGCCGCGCTGGGTTCGCCTCATGAGGAAATACGTGCTCGCGCGCGAAGGGGTCTGTGGAGACCAGGGAGCACCCCCCCCCCAGGGGACCCTGCCCTGAACACCAAGGCAAGCCCCAAGGGTCGGAGGGAGGCACGGCCCCGCCCGCTCCCACTCACAGGCGGCGGCTGCGGCAGGGAGCAGTGCGATGTTTTTGGGGGGCTCCTTCTTCACGGGGGTCGTGGGCAGCTCACTCTCCTTCTTGCGCCTTTTGTAGGGGACGAAGAGCCTGACCGGGCCGCTCTGCGGGGAGAGGGGCAGTGAGGGGGAGCCAGCTCGGCTGCCCCTGCCCCGGGGGCAGGGCGAGACTCATCACGGCCAAGGACCGACCACCTTCAGACCCCAAGTTCCTTACTGGGACAGAGGAGAGACTTTTTAAAAGAATGCGTGACTCACACTGTTTGAACGAAACAGAAGGCTCACCAACGCGCAGGGTTTTTAGGGTTGGGTACGTGCAAGGAGACAAAGCAAACGGCGACTGAGTTAAGGAGGCAGGAGAGCCCCTGCCCCAAACCAGAGGATCCCAGCAGGGAGGAGGAGGCCCTGCGGTCGCCAAGTACAGGGGAGACAACACACCAGCAACCACAGAAGCGACGGACCAACACGGACAGATCTGCAGGGCAGGGGGGTGGGGGTGGGGCTGACGCCTGCAGACCCCGAGGGCCACACCTTCTTGCTGGACGGCGCAGCGCCCAGGGGCGTGAGACCTTCCGGAGCAGACGCAGGCCCACCTCCGCGGACCCTGCCACTCGGGCTTTCACCCGGGTCTTCTGGCTCTCAATTCTAGAATCTCCACTGGAGCTTTCTCGTAATTCCCGTCTCGTTACAGAGACACAGCCCCCCCGGCCCCCCCTCTGCACAGGGCACACGTGAAGGCCAGACCCCAGGCCGCTGTTGCTGCAGTAAGTGTGGCCACGGGGATCGGGGGTGTACGTGCACCGCCCCTGCCGCCAGGGGGCCTCGCCTGTTAGAAACCAGTGCAGGGGTGAAGCTCCCCCCTTCCCCCCCCCCCCATTTGTGGTGCTCCGCAGCGGCCACTGGAGCGACTGAGACACGGGGCCGTAGATTCTCCAGACGCGTCCCTTGGTTCTGTGAACACCGACGGTACCGAGGGCCTCTGTCCCAGCGACACCTCGGCCGAGTCTGCTGCACCTTTTCTTCTGCGTGGCTCCACTCGCTGTTTGTGTCTTACAACTTTCTGTTGAAAACTGGACATTTTAGGGGAGGTACTCTAGCGACACCGAGACCGACCCCTTCTTTGCGGGGCTTCCTGCTGCTGCCCACGGGCTTGGGGACCAGGCTATGCCCCGGCGGAGTCCATGGCGGAGTCCCAACAGGGGAGTCCCACAGTGGGGGAGTCCCATCCAGCAGAGTCCCTGTGAGGAGCGGGGAGTCACCCGTGCAGAGTCTCACAGTGGAGTCACAGTGGGGGGGGTCACACCCCCAGAGGCGCTCCACTTCCACTGGCGGCACCACTGCCCCCACAACGCCCAGGGCATAAACTGCTCCGTCGGATCCCAACTGCATGAGGGCTCCTTTACGGGGAGTTTTCGAGACAGATCTTTGGGGTCTGATCTTATCCCAGGACTCTTCTGACTGCTGTTTTCCCTGGTTCTCCGGTTAGCCTGCTGCTCTCGTGCTCTGCCAGCCCCCTCCTCAGGGATCATGTCCACAGGGCCCTGCTCTGGAGGCGGGGGCAGGAAGGGTCGCCACGTCTTATCAGGGCGACAGCCCTGCTTTAGCAGCAGGGCTCTGGGCAGGGGCAGAGCCTCTGGTCTCGGCCTGCCTCCCGTGGCATGGACCCCCACACTAGGAGCGAGCTGGGGGACACTGGGGCACGGTATTCCTGCCTGGCCGCTCCTGGGGGGAGCCTCTGCCCTCTGGGAGAGGCTGGGTGCAGGCAGGGAGCCCCGATCTCCCAGTCATGCTTGCCCAGAAGCTGGTTTCTGCAACTCAGAGCCAGGACTGGGCCCGTGAAATGCTGCTGTCCTTCCGGTCCCGGTCCCGGTGCCGAGGGGAGAGGGACCGGGGCTCCCTGCACACGGCGCTGGAGGGAAGCGGGAGTGAGGTGTGCGGGGCTCTTCACGCTACTGTCCCTGAAGGGGAAGCCGGAGTGTTAGCATTTACAAGTCCCAGTCACCAAGTTTTCGTTTACGGATCGTGCCTTTGTTCTCCCACCCGAGAAACCCCAGGCCGTGAAGCTCTCCCGTTTTCTTCCACACACGTCAGGTTTGTGTTTTGGATAAATCTGGATCCGTGCTGCGTTTTGGAAGCACTTGCACATAAAGCGCCAGGGTGGGGCCAAGGTGTGTCCCCAGCGCACAGTGTCCAGCTGTGCCCACAGCACACGCGGGGGCACACGGAGCCTCTGGTGTCACCGATGCGTACGTCTTCGTGACAGCCGCTGTGGGATGGGGCTTACCCGGCCTGTGCTGGGGCTCCTCCAGCTTCAGTCGCCTTCTCAAAATTGCGCCGGCCGTCCTATGTCCTTTGCCTTTCCAGACGTGTTTTCAAGTCAGCTCATCTGAAGCGCCAGGGCCCCGCGGGGATTGTGGCGGGAACCACGGGAACCTACAGAGCACCGAGGGGAGCCGGCGCTTTCCTCACTGTGGGCCTGGCGCGCCTGTCCCAGCTCTCCCCGGGGTCCTCTCGACGGTATCTTCTAGGTTTTTCATACACGGATTCGGTACACGTTCTCTTAGATTCACGTCATTTCAACATTGCGGAGTAACTGCAAACAATTCTACCAAGTGGCCTGAACTTCCGAACGGAATGAATTTCCTCCCACCGCTCTCTTTCTCCCTACAAGATTCCCCGGAATCTCACCACTAGCTTCTCCAGGCGAACTGCAAATTCATTTAATTTTCACAAAAATATCCCATTGTTGATTCCACCAAAATCACATCTAGTCTATATAGGAGCTAGACAATTCTAGAATATTTAGTTTTCCACCCAAGGGGGTGATGTCTCTTCAATTAAATGTTCTTTCATATCTTCTAATAATTAAGCAGATGAGTAATCAAAATAAAGTCAAGAAATCTCATTAAGCAGCTATTAAAACCTGAAAATATTTTAAAACCGAACTCAACACTAAGAAAGAGTGAATACTGGGCTATTCGTGTGAGTTAGTACCACGCTTTAGAAAGCCGTACAGCAACATCCACTAAAAATCAACGAGAAACAGTTATCCTTTCCGAACCTGTTAAGGACTCAGGATAAAAATATATTTCAAAAGATATTAAAAACTCCTTTAAAATAATTTCAACATAGTAGTTTTAAGACATGACGTTTAAAAATGTAGACTATAAAGCAGCACATGTACACGTCTCATGACCACAGAAGCAAAACGTGCGTCTGGTTTGGGGTTAAGATGGTGACGTCACAGGCGCTTTCTACCGTTTGGACAAGTCCTCTTCCGTGTGCTTTGACCACCGTGCGGGGCCGGCCTCATGCACCACCAGAGGCGTCAGAGTAACATCTGAGAAGCGGGATTTGGGTGAGACACTGCCAACAAGCCCTCGCTAGGCTGCAGGGCGCGAGGGACCCAAGGACACGCGGCCCGAGAGCTGGACAGGACAAGCACGCAAGCAGGGAGCTGAGGGTCGGAACGCCTGCGAGCAGACAGAGCCGCTGAGCAAGCCTGATGACTGGTCACTTCCTGGCGACTCACCAAGGTCATGTCGTCACAGCATGCGGCGCAGGTACAAGACGCGGCATGTGGGTTTAGGATCCCGTCCTGAAATTCAGAGAGCCCCGCGGTGCGTGAGAAAGTCGGCCTTCCGCGCAAACCACCAACGCTATAGGGGGCAGCCAGCTCTGCCGCCGGCCGGCCACTCGTGGGTTAAAGCCCTGTCACCTCCAGAAACTCCTCTCCCCCACACGTCTATACAAGGCCATGACCAGGGGCAGGATCCACTGTTCCCTCTCCAGGAGATGAAAAGATTCTATGGGCATTCTTTCCTTCTTCCTTTTTTTTTTTTTAAAGATTTTATCCATTTGTTTGTCAAGACAGGGAGAGAGAGCACAAGCAAGGGGAGGGGCAGAGGGAGAAGGAGGCTGTCCACTGAGCAGGGAGCCTGACGCGGAACCCGATCCCAGGACCCTGAGATCAGGACCTGAGCTGAAGGCGGCTGCCCAGCAGACTGAGCCTCCCAGGCGGCCCCGGCCATCACTTGCTGACCAGCGTCCAAAGCGCTCCGCTGCGAGGAGCAGTCAGAGGCCTGTGCCTCAGCCCGACCGGCCACATCGTGTCATGCTCCTGCCCAAACTGTCACCGCCCTGCGTGAAGCCCTGGCAAGAGGAGCCTGGGTGCCTGGCCCAGGGCCGCACGTCCCGGGGGCAGAGGACCACAGCCAGACTGCACGCCTGCGTTCTGTGTTCCCCACGGGGCGCGGTGGCCCAGGGAAGCCCCCCCACCCCCGGCCCAGCCCCGGGAGGCGCCCCCCACCCCGCGCCCTCGGCCCTCCTCGCAGGCGCGGCACCTGAATGAGGCACTGCAGCGGCCGGCCCGCGTAGCGGATGCTCCTCTTCCAGTCTTTACTGCTGGCTCTCCCCGCCACGGCCTCAAACTCGGTGGGGCTGTACCAGTTCTCCCCTTGTTTAATACAGCGGCCCCGGCCTCCTGGAGCGGCAGCGGGCGGCGCAGTGAAGGCGCGGCCGGCCGACGGCAGCCGGTCCCGTGCTCTCCTTCCCTGCCTCCCACCCAGCTCCCGCTGAGCCGCTCCCACACCAGAGCCCCCACGTGATCGCGCCCCCTCCAAGGACGCCCCCACCACGAACCCGCGCCTGCTCTCTGCGCACCGCCTGCCGCGCACCACAAGCCCCTCGTGGTCTCACGTGGAGCTCTCGGCATCCGCCCCACTGCCAGAATGGGGGAGAGTCCCCATCGCCTGAGGTTCCCCGTCCTGACCCAGGAACTTAGGGAGCTCATTCCAGTCCTGCCTCTCCCCTGGCTTTCCCTCGTCCACGGGTCACTATGTCCTCTCCACCCGCCCCCACCACGCCCCAAACCTGTCGTGGCCTCAGCTCTACTGCCCAGGGCCGCGAGCCTGGCCTGCCCCACTGGGCCCGCGCTGGGGGACTGCCGGGGGTAAGGTGTGCCCGAAGCCCAGGTCCCACGCCGCCTCACCTGAGCCCAGCCGACTCTTGAACAACGTGCCGCTGATGTTCCGGCACCGCACGGGCAGCTCGCTGTCATACACTGACGGGTCCCAGTTGTACTTGGTGCCCCCTCTTTCCTGGCCGGGAGCCGCAGGACTTGGAGGACACGGAGGGCCTTGGGCAAAAGAAGCATTTGGAAAGTAAGAGACGTGGGGTGCACCCAGCCTACCCAGAAAGGCACGAGCACCTCCTGGGCTCCAACGGCGGGTTCTCCCGCTCCCACCCGGACACAGCAGCACGGCCCCCTTCCACCCTGGGCAGCTCCTTCTCAGCCTGGAAAAGCCCACGTCCTCTACTCAAACAGCATTTCTATTCCAAGTTTACCACAAGACTAACTAAGCCAATCCCAGAGGGAACTCGGCGCGCACTCAGGTGCGTTCTGCCCGGGGAGGCCTGGAGTGGGGACAGGCAGCACCTGGGGTGAGTGGAGCAGTGGGCCCCTTCAGCCCGGCCGTCTCCACGATGCTCCCGTCTGTGTGCACGACGATCAGCGTGGCCTTCTCGGTGTTCAGGCTGTCCCCGATCTGCAGCGCTGTCCTGCCAGACTGGAGACAGAACATCTGAGTCGTCTCAGGCGGTAGCTACAGGGCCTGGCCCCTGGTCCTCGCGAACCGCCACCACAAGGGCACCCCACTGGACTTCAGGTGCCCCTAAGACCCTAAACACAGGGCCAAGCACAAGGGCCATGCTCTGCCTGGGAGGCCCTGTGCAAACACTCACCACCACCTGCCAAAGGGAAAGAAGGGGCACGTCCCATAAAGACACCCTGGGAAAAGTGCCCCCCTGTCTACCTGAGCAGCCTCTGCATGCTCACAGGTCTCTAGGGAGGGTCCCAAGAAACCAAGCACAGTCACAGCCGGGGTCTGGCACGGGACTCCCTTCTCACACCCGTGCCCAAGCACAGCTCTGCCGACGGCTACTGCATACCAGGACCACCCCCGCCGCACTGCTCACACACCTGGCCACGGTGGTCAGGGGCTACAATGACAGCACCTGCTTCCTCTGGGTCAGCCTGGCCTCGTCCTTCAAGCTGCCCTGCTCCCCGGGCGAGCCAGGTGCTCCCTCCTGTCCCTGCTGTCCCTAGGTACCCGCCTCACAGGGCTCCGGCAAAGGAACTCTCAAGGCTTTGCCCAGACAGCCCTGGGTGGGCGCCACTCGCTCCAAGCGGCCAATTCAAACCCAGCGCCTAGGCTGCTCTGATGCTTCCTGGAGAGAACAGAACCCACAAAGGCAAGTTAAAAAGACCTTCCCTTGGGGCGCCCGGGTGGCTCAGAGGGTTAAGCCTCTGCCTTCAGCTCAGGTCATGATCCCAGGGTCCTAGGATTGAGCCCCGCATCGTGCTCTCTGCTCAGCGGGAGCCTGTTTCCCCCTCTCTTTCTGCCTGCCTCTCCACCTGCTTGTGATCTCTGTCTGTCAAATGAGTAAGCAAAATCTTTAAAAAGAAAGAAAGAAAAGAAGGAAGGAAGGGAAGAAAAAAAGAAGGAAAGAACAAGAAAACAAATGGCCACCTTGGGGCGCCTGGGTGGCTCAGAGGGTTAAAGCCTCTGCCTTCGGCTCAGGTCATCATCTCAGGGTCCTGGGACTGAGCCCCGCGTCGGGCTCTCTGCTCAGCGGGGAGCCTGCTTCCCTCCCTCCCACCTCTCTGCCTGCCTCTCTGCCTGCTCGTGATCTGTCTGTCAAATAGATAAATAAAATCTTTAACAAAAAAAAAAAAAACCTTCCTTTACATCTGAAAATCCAATCAGGGAAAGTAAGTAGCAGCTCCCACCCCGAACACATGCACACACCCAGGGCCTGGGCTTATACACCTGGAGGGTCACTGTCTTGCTTAAGCACGTCCACACGGCTCGTGTCGGAATCACTGAAGACGTGCAACCCTCTGCGTAAAAGGGAATGTTCCGTGTTCAGCTACGAATCACAGAAACGTTTTCCTCATTGAGGCCAACGGGAGTACAAAGATATTGGAGGGCTGGCAATCGGTTTCCTGCAGGATCACACGGAGTCCACAGGTCCTCCTGTCCTCAGAGCCTGCTGCGAGCACCACACCTAGGACGGTCCTCCCTAGCTCCCTGACCCTCTGACTCCAGGCTCTTCTAGAAAAACCCACAATCTGCTGCTGGGAAGGAGAGACCAGTTGGAGGCGTGAAATGAGCACCTATCGGCTCGTGTGTGTTCAACTCCCTAAGAAATGAAGCAGGTTCTGAACTCTGCGGTCTGTGCTTGTGACTCCGAGTGTGAGTCGGCTGTTTGTGGCCAACAATAGTGACTTTGCTTCCAGGGATACAGCACCCCAGGTGTGTGACTAAGGCTAGAAAGGAACCGTGACTAAGGGGCGCCTGGGTGGCTCAGTGGGTTGAGCCTCTGCCTTTGGCTCAGGTCATGATCCCAGCGTCCTGGGATCGAGTCCCACATCGGGCTCGTTGCTCAGCGGGGAGCCCGCTTCTGTCTCTGCCTCTCTGCCTGCTTGTGTGCTCTCTTTCTCTCTCTCTCTTCCTCTCTGACAAATAAACAAACAAACAAATAAAAAAAGAAAGAAAAAAGAAACTGTAACTAAGAGCTGCCGCAAAGCTCCAGAAGAGTCCCACGTGGTGTGGTCGTCGGGCAAGGACGAGGAGACCCGAGCACAGCCTGAGGGAAGGGCGCAGCCACAAGCTTCCAGGTGCCCCGGGAACCCAGAGCCAGCCTCAGGGAAGACGCGCTCGGGGGTCTGGGGAAAAGTGCTCGCAGGGCCGCTTACCAGAACGTGTCCCGAGAGGGAGGCAGCATTCGCCACTGACGTGGTGAAGACGTTGTCTGCGGAGGCACCCACGTTGGCCACGGTCACCGTGGTCACCTCTGCAACACAGGGGCCTGACTCAGCACATCATCAGAGCCGGGGGCCTCCCACCTGGTATCTCCCACCTGGTATCTCTCCATCAGGTATCTGCACTTCCAACCAAGGGACTCTCGACATTTGTACACTAAGTGCTCAGCCAACACTTCTAGGCCGCAGCCTAGGTGACCCGGGTCTCAGGAAAAGAGAGAGGAGAGGCTTTCCCAGCATTAGAGCCCTTCATCCGCCGAGAAAACCGCCCCTGCCACGCTCCCTGGGCTTCTTGCTCCCTTTTAGGAGAAAACCACACACCAAGGCTCCACACGTGCTGTGGTCATCGTGTGACCAGACACCTGCCACATCACCAACACACAGTTCCCCTCTTCCCGGCCCCCCTCTCCAGGTCAGCACAGGGCAGACTCAGGTCCCTTCATTGTCCTCCTCCTCCACTTCCCCCTCTCCTGGCCCCTGCCCACTGCAGAGGCTCTCCTTCCCGCTCGGGGCTGGGTCCCACCGCACTCCTGGGGCAGCCTCTGGCATGTGGGAAACACCCACAAACACGGCCTGGAAGAGTCCTGCATATTCCCTCAAGCTGGCGCCCCCCAAACCGCGCTGAAACACCTGTCCCCCGTCTGCATCTTGCCCTAGACCACGCCGCAGGAGAGCCGAGGGGATCCCCGCCGGAACACACCGGACTCGGCCAAGCAGCTGTCTGCCCAGGGGACGTGGCCTCACATGCCGCTGGGTTATTTCCACCTGGAAAAGTCGTGACCTCAGGAACTCAGAAAAGCAGTAATGGTTTCATGTACTTAAAAACGCAGTAAAATTTTGCAGGAAAAACACATTTCTCTGAGGCTGTGATGAATGGTATCACATTTCTTTTCTGCATCCACAAAAAGTACACGCAAAAACCACAAAAAAAAAAAGAAAAACTTCATGGTCCCAAGTCCCAATATTAAACCAGTTTAGTGACAAGACCCAAAGACGCTAACAGCCACAAGCCTTCTCCCCTCGTTCGGGAGGACCCCGAGCAGCCCACACCAGAGCAGCGGCGCGGAGGCACCCGAGGGCCGGATGAACACCTGGAGTGGCCAGGACCACCAGGACCGAGGTGGCTGCTGTCCAGTCCCTGAAGCCAGGAGGCTCCCAGGGGAAGGTGCCTGACAACGTGTGCTGGCAACACGATGGTGCTCTGCCACGGTTCCCACACACAGCTCTGAGTCCCCAAGGCCTCCAGGGCCACCGGGGAGCTCCCAGTTAGGCGGGGTCCAACACCTGGGAAAGTCTCTGCCATCTCTGGGCTGGCAGAGTGGGGAGACGGACAGCGACAGACCAGGACGGCAATCGAAGGAGTCAAAGGATGACGCGCCCAAAGGTCACAGGACTCCCCCACTGGGAGCACTGTCTCGTCAACCCTGAGCTGGCCTAAGGTTCCAGGTGACCGGACACAGGCGCCCCCAGGCTTCCCTGGGGCAGGAGCCGCATCAGATCCCCACTCCCCTAACTCCCCAGCCCCCAGCGTCACCAGTGCCAGGGAGAGACAGAGAGAGTCCCTGCCCAGCGTGGCCAGGGAGAGACAGAGCAGAGGTCAGGGAGGGGGAGAGGCAGGTGCGGGGAAGGTTCTGGAAGGAGTACAGGATGCTTCACAGGGGAGAGCGGCGCTGGCACACGCTAAAGAGGTGCGGGAGGCCGTTTCCGGGAAGAGCGCGGGGTGGGCGGGCAGGGCCGGGGACGCGGGCCGGCGCGCGGCAACGTCAAGGCGCACGAGGTAGGTGTGAGGCATGCAGGAGGCACGTGGTCGGGGGAGCAGAGGCAACCAGGGCGCCGGGGCGCGCACAGCAGGTGTGTGCAGGGCAGGTGCGCGCGGGTGCGCAGGTGCGCGGGGCAGGTGCGCGCAGGTGCGCAGGTGCGCGGGGCAGGTGCGCGGGAGCCGCGGGCGGGCGGCACTTGCCTGCGAAGGCTGCGGCCGCGGCGGCCTCGTCGGGGCCCGGGAGGGCCTCGGCGCCCATGTCCATGTGCCCGGGCTCGGCGGCCATCACCGCCACGGCCGTCACCCGCCGCGTCTCGCGCTCTGCCTCCGAGTCCCCGTCCTCCTCCGAATCCTCGTCCCTGCTGAGCACCGGCTCCTCCGCCTCGCCTCCCGCTGCGGCCGCGGCCGCCGCCGCCACAGCGGCCGCGGCCGCCACCGCCGCCGCCTCGGCCAGGCCCAGCTGCTTGGCGGCCGAGTCCGAGTCCTCCATCCGGACTCCACCGAGCCGGCCCGAAGGCGTCGGCCGGGGCCGCCCGAAGGCCGGGACGGAGCCCGAAGCGCGCCGCGCGAGCAGGGCTGCCCGAGCAGAGCCGAGGCCGCCCGAAGCTGCCAGCCGGGCCGAGCCTGGCCGAAGCCGCCCGCCCTGCCGAGCCGAGGCCGCCCGAACAGGGGCCGAACCGGCACGAAGCGGCCCAGTCGAGCCCTGCCGACGGCCAAGAGTCCGGAACCGAGGACGGCCGAAGCGGCCCGAAGCGCGGAGCCGAGTCTGTCCGAATTGGCCCGAGGCGGCACGAGGACTTCCGAGCGGCTCTGCGCTACCCCAACTCGGCGCCTAGGAGGCCTGCGCCACCCGCCGTCCCCCGCAACGGGGTAGCCGACTACGGGGCCGAATCTCGCCGGCCTCCGACGCGGCGCGCCCGGGCCCAGAGAACCTTTCGCCGCAGGCTCCGCTCGCCCCGGCCGCGAGCGGGAGCCGAGTCCGTCCGAGGCGGAGTCGAACAGAGCCGAACCCTGCCGAGCCCGGATACGCCCGAGCCTCGGCTCTCCGCCTCCTCTTGTACGAAAGTGCCCGAGCGCTGCCGGACGAGTTGAACCGGCCTCGGCCGCGGATCGGAATCAACTCCCGAAGTGCGGCGCGGTCGGGCCCCTTCGGGAGCAGAAGCGAAAATGGCCGAAGGGACGCGAATAGCGCGGAGCCGAGAGACTGCTGGGATCGCGGAGGACTCGGCGGGCGGGGCCGGGCGGCAAGATGGCTGCCGGAGGGCAAGGTGAGGGCCCGGGGTGGGCGCTTGGGGAGCCGCCGGGGGCCCCGGGGCGGGACGCTACGGTCTCGGGACAGCGCAGCGCCCGTGGGCCCGTGGCTTGGGCTGGGGGCCCGGGCGGGCGGGGGCGGAGGTCATCTCAGGAAGCGGGGGTTGGTCGGGTCTGGTTCTTTCTGGTGATGGAAAGACGGACCGGACTGAGGCGGCTCCAGCGGTTGCGGTTCGGCCGTCTTGAGTGTCTCGGCGAGGTGCAGCCCCGGCCCTTCGGGCGCCTCTTGCCCTCCTGTGGCCGGCGCCCCGCTCGGCGCAGACACCCGGCTGTGCACGGCCCTGGGGGTTGCGGGGGTCGTCCCCCGCCGCCGGCCCTGGGGGAGACCAGTCTCCCGCCGTGGACCCCGCCGGCTGGGGCAGCTGCTTGCTCCAGAGAGGGAGGGGGCACCGTGGGCCTTAAGGCCGGGCAAGAGTTTGTCAGCGCCGGGGGGGGGGGGCACCCTGTCGCAGTCGCCAGCAGCTTTGTGTCCAGGACAGAGTGCTGGGCAACGTGGCAAGCCCCTGTTGGAAAGCTGGGCACGGCTGTCCCCCACGTCGGCGGTGGGAGCTCACAAGCCGGTGGGCATTGCTCCTGCCGGTGCAGGTTCTGCTCGCGCCACCAGGGTCCCCGCGGGCACTGTGTCCCTTGCAGCACCCAGCTGTCCGCACGCGGGACAGCTCTTGTGTGCACACCTGTGCCCTGAGAAGAACGTGCGGGAGTGGAAGGCGGCTGTGTTAGTGGGGCCTCCGGGTTCGTCTGGGTGGGCACCCACTCTGGACACAAAGCCGCCTTTCCCAGCCTCTGCCCTGCCCCGAAATTTCTGGCTGGAGGGCGGAGAGGAGGGCGGAGCCGAGGTGCCTGTGGTCTGGGCTTTACGCAGAGCCCCAGCCCCAGCCCGCTCGGCTCCAGACCGCCAGGCCTGTGTGGAAGTTCACTGGCAATGAGGTGCGTCTGCTCTTGGGGAAAGGAAGTCACACGGGGTCTCTGCAGCGGCCTCTGTCACCGCAGGGGCAGCGTTTGCTCCCTTCACTTCCACGGGAACTTGCACCTGTTGGCGGTCTCTTGTTACAGTAACTCACTGACAAAACGCGGCAAAAGCGGGCGCTGTCCTTAGGCCGAGCTCCTGTAGGTCTGAAACCCGTAGACCAGCCAGTCTGATTGTAGCCACCTTTAATGTCGATTATTTAAACCCCGGGTCGTGTAAGGCTTTTATGCCACGTTTTTCCCCTGAGCCCCCGCGGTTCCGGTCTGTGACCATGGCTGGCAGGTAGATTTGAAGCGTCTGAGGCCAGCCTTCAAGAGAAGAATCAAAAGGGAGGAAAACCCCAGTTAATGCGAAACCCACCCAAATAACGGCAAGTATGGAGGCAGCCGCATTTCGCTAGGGCCTGGAGAAGAACAGATTGGGTGTCAGGAGCTCACTGCCTGTAACGCAATCCAGGTGTGTAGAGGCTCCCGCCCGGCTTCCGGCTCCCCGCACGTGCTGCCTCCTGCGCGCTGAGCTCGGAGTCTCGGGGGCGGGTTCCCCTGCTGACCCGTAGAAGGCCTCTGCCCATGCGAGACTCCAGAAGGCCGGAATCTGCTTTGATGTCCCCCACAAACACTCACCAAGGCTGAGCGTCTCTCCCTGCCCTCTTGGGGGTTAAGGGAAAGTGGAACTGGAGAGAAGACCAGACAGATTGGTCCCATCACTGTCCTACTTGCTGCTTGGCGGTGTGGCTCAAGTCTCCTTCTATAGGGTCTGTTGCCCAAATTCTAAGTTATCACTGATGTTACTACATGTCACAAATGTGCCACTAGTGTGAGCCTCTTGAGACAGGAAGTCTGCCCCAAGAGACATTCAAGCAGAGGCTTAGCCAAAGATGCTTGCGACTCAGCAGCTCTGGTTCTGAAGACCATTTCGCGGGGAGAGAGGCCGTCGTTGTCGTAAGAGGAGGGGAAACGCGCACCTGCTGTGGGGTGGGAGAAGGTCTGAGACGCACTTGAAAGAAATTGGATTGCTGCTGTAGGAAATTACTATTTGGGTGAGATTTGGGACAATATATAAAATTCTAGGGGAAAGAAAGTATCATCAATTACCCCTCTAAAAAAAGATTTGTATCCTGAATTAGAGAAGCTTCTCCTCTAATTCCATCCCCGTGGTAAATGTGCAGAAGCAGAGGGGTGAGCAAAGCTGTGTCTGCTGGTGCCCATGCCTTTTCCTTCCCTGGCAGTGCAGCAGAATTCTGCCTTTCCTCGCTGGAGGCGCCGCTGAGGTCCTGAGCTCTCTCCCAGCCTCAGGTTCTGAGAAGCAGAGGGCAGACCCTCCTCGGAGGCACAGATGCAGGGGTGACAACAAGGGACCTAGCTACGGGCCCAGATAAAGGTGGCTTCTTTCTGTAAATACAGGAGAAAAGAATGAAGCCGGGATCCTCCATCAGTGCCGGAAATGGCCCAGGTGGGCACCGGGTTGGACCTGCGGCCTCACGTACTGATACGCTTTCTTTTTCCAGGGAGGGCTTCCTCTGCGGTGGTATCCTTCTGCTGCGTCCCTGTGTCCCTCAGCTGGCCACAGGCCCGGGCATCCCCAGGACGGCACCTGAGAGCTAGTTTGCTGGACACATGAAGGCGGCTTTGAGTTCCAGCTTTCTGTTCCTTTAAACCCCACACACACCCTTTCTCTAAGTTCTGGTAGAAACTACTTTTAGATTGAATTGAATGGTGGCTCAGTTGGTTAAATGGGAGGGACATTCATGAACAGATTTAGAGAGTCGTGAGACTTCAGTGGGACAGGCTGGCTCCCCTGCGCAATGGGTGGGTGGCTGCCTGCCTGCCTCCCACCAGGACCCTCCCGACCCCGGGGCAAGACAGTGAAGGCCCCTCCCTTTGAACATTTTACCATAAACAAAATGGTAGGGTTGGTAGATCTTTAACAGCACAAAAAAAGAATATATTTTCTTTAAAGAAAATGAAAAAAAAAAAAAGTCATTTTTTTCTATCCAGTAACCTGGGCCACAGTCAAGGTGATGCCCCCAAGGAAACCTGGCGTTCCAAGGCCATCCTGCCTGCCGTCACCAGGGACAGACGCAGCCCTCCTGTTCCAGGCTAGGACACTTCCTGTGACACCAGAGGAGACAGGTGGAAGCCCCCTGCTCCGCCCCAGGCAGGGAGCCGGCGGCCAGGTCCCTGTGGCCACCTGCAGGTGCGGCTCTGGAGACGTGGCGGGGTGTGCCCCCTGGGGTGGACACACGGGCAGGGCCCGTCTCTAGGCCCGTGAGTCCTTAACCGCTGGCCAGCTCTCGTCCGTCTCTCTGCAGCTGCTGCTCTACCTGAGTGGGGCCTACTGTGCCCTGTATTTCCTAGCTACGCTCCTGATGATGATGTATAAAAGTGAGTCTTCACCGCAGAGGCCCACGGGAGGTGTCCTTGCTGCTCCCCGCCCCTGCGTAACTGGAGTTCTGCTCTGTTGCCCGCTGTTCTGCAGGTCAGGTTTTCAGTTATCCTCATCCTTACTTGGTCCTCGACCTGACTCTGCTGCTTCTGATGGGGATCTTGGAAGTGACTCGGCTGTATCTTGGTGAGTTGCTGGAGGCCGTAGAGTGCAGAGGGCCACAGAATTCCTTGCTTCCGGGCCGGGAACCCTTTATGACGTCCATCCTTTATCACGTGCTTCCTAGAGCCGACCACTCAGCCTCCCCTTACAATGTCACGAAGCATTGGTTGGCTTATTCGGGACAACTCTGGCAGCGGCCTTGGGAGAGCAGCTTCCACTGGAAGCCTGTCCTGAGAAGCCGCAGGGGGACGCACAGGGCCGAGAGCCCCGAAATATTCACCTCATCTCCTTCCTTCCCCTCCCATTGGCCTCAGCAGTCTGGAGAAGGATCTGGAGTGTTCTGCCGAGTCCCCAACAGGCCAGCGGAGCCTGGAGATGTGGGAGGGCTCCCTGAGACCCCTCAGTCCAGCTCCAGGGCCATGCAGGGGCCCTCAGGCAGCCCCGTTTCAGTTCTCTAACAGCGTGAGCTTTGCCCTGTAGCCCAGCCCAGCCAGCGCTCAGCACACAGGGTGCAGGCTTCCAGCCCCCTCTTCTGCCTCTGGCCAACTCACAGGCACACACAAGCCAGCACATCTGTGTTCCACGATGGGATCGTACATGCGTGTTCCGCGAATACGTCTGGGAAACACTCCCTCCATTGGAAGAGCTGGTAGAGCCGATGACAGCTGGCGCTCCCAGGCCCCTTGCACACGCACACCAGTGACGCCCAGTCAGTAGCGAGGAAGTGGGTGCACGCCCTTGTCGGCAGAGCCTCAGGACTCTTCAGGGGACAGGAGCAAGTCTCCTGGGCCATCATGCTGGGCACGCGGGGCTATCAGTGTCCGCTGTCACAGACGAGCCCACGCACCTGGGAGGGAGGCGGATGGTGCTGGGCCCCTGCGTCCGCCACAGCAGCCAGGGATCAGCGTTTCCTGTGATCGAGCCATTTGTCTGTAAAATACTCACTTTTGCTTTGGTTTGATTTTTTACAGGCGTACATGGCATTTTCCAGAGCTGGCCTTAGCCCAGAGTAAAATATTTTTGGAAAAAAAATTTTTTTAAGATTTTATTTATTTAGGGGCGCCTGATGGCTCGGTGGGTTGAAGCCTCTGCCTTCGGCTCAGGTCGTGATCCCGGGGTCCTGGGATCGAGCCCCGCATCGGGCTCTCTGCTTGTCAAGGGAGCCTGCTTCCCCTCCTCTCTCTCTGCCTGCCTCTCTGCCTACTTGTGATCTCTGTCTGTCAAATAAATAAAAAAATAAAAAAAATTAAAAAAAAAAGATTTTATTTATTTATTTGGCAGACAGAGATCACAAGCAGGCAGAGAGGCAGGCAGAGAGAGAGGAGGAAGCAGGCTCCCCGCTGAGCAGAGAGCCCGATGCGGGGCTGGATCCCAGGACCCTGGGACCATGACCTGAGCCGAAGGCAGAGCTTAACCCACTGAGCCACCCAGGCGCCCCAATTTTTGGAAATTTTTAAGCAAAAACTTCTCAGTCCATTTGGAATTAGGACGAGGTATCAGAATGCAACTGGGATCGTCTTTAGAAAAGGAAATGCCCTCTCCCACCCCCATAACTGACCCAGAGGCTGAGATTCAAACGTTATCTGGCAACTGGTTTTTACCCTCTCTAGGGAGAACACACCCTTTGTCACACTTTGCTTTCCGACGATTCATGAGTGATGTGGCCCCAACAGGACCTTTGACCCGAGGTCCTCAGCCCTGCGTCCAGAGGGCCGTGCTGGTGACAAGCTTGCACTCAGCCTCCCTGCTGCCTCGCAGCCCTTCTGGGCACACACGGGTCAGAGTAGGTGTCCCTGAGCCCAGCGCCCACTCACCCGTCCGCTCTGCTCTCCAGGCACCAAGGGCAACCTGACGGAGGCTGAGGTGTCGCTGGCCATCAGCCTGGTACTTACCGCAGGCGGCGCCCTGCTGTCCACCTAATTCCTGCTCTGGCAGACGCTGGTGCTGTGGGCAGACGCATCCTCGGCACCACACTCCTGGTACTGCATGGCCTGGAGGCCGTCCTGCAGCTGGTGGCCACTGCTGCCTTCGTCAGCTAGGCAGGCGGTGCCTGGCATCCCCCACCCTGGGTGGGACACCCCTGGACAGAAGCCACGTCCTGGGTGCTCGGCGATGCCTGGTGGCTCCCTCAGCTGCGCCAACCTGCTTGATCACCAAGGGGAGTGGGTGAGGACGGTGCACGTTTGCACACAATTGCTGGGATTCCGTGCTTTCCACACTGGTCCCCCTGGAGCTACAGGGTGGTGTGGGGAGCCCAGGACCGTGGCCCACAGCAGGCCAAGCCCTGGACGAGGGTACACCAGCATTGCAACAGAAAGAAAAATGCCTGGGAGCCAGCAAGCTCTGGTGTTTGGGGGCATTTTTGCAGTGGCGGCCCCTTCCCTCTGGGGCTTCTGCAGGGATGTGGTCTAAAGCCCCGGCACAGGGGAGGGAGGCAGGGAACGGGTGAGTGACAGAGAACAGCCTGCCACTGCCCTGGGCAGGGGTTTCGGGGCTCCAGTCCAGGACTGAGTCAGAGAAACGTCAGGAGTGCACACTGTGCTGGATGTGTCCGCAGACCAGAGGGCTCCTGGAAGGACTGTGAGTTCAGGTTCCCCAGTGACTTGCCTTCGTTTGCATTGCGCCCTGTCCGCGTTCGGAATAACTGTTTGAACATCGAGACGTTTCCTCTTGGCCATGTTGTCGAGTAAAGGAACGTGTGTAGCTGCCTGCATTTCTCCTAAGACCGCCCACCTCTTCCCGGCTTCTCTCGGTATACAGAAGCACACCCCACCCAGGCTTCACCCAGAAACCCAGGGAGCAGTGCTTCCCCCGGAAAGCAGCAAAGCCGGGCCTCAGGGCCGGTCCCGGGCCTCCACAGAGACCGGCTTTCAGCAGGGGGGTAGCAGCAGCCCCCGCCGTCGTCTTGTCCTTCTCAGGGGCAAGTGGGAACAGGAGCTCTCCCCTCCGCTGGCTTTGGCTCTGGTCCAGTGCACATCTGTGGCCCCAGGGGCCGCATGTGGGCGCCCTCGTGCTCACCTGCTGCTCAGGCGTTCAGCAGAGCCACCTGCCTCTGGCGCCATGGCATCCCCCGGGGGACTTGGGAAGATGGGACCGGTGCACTTGCTCTCCGTGGAAATGCTCAGCCAGCTCCCGGGCAGACCTGGCAGCATGACACTTGTGGTCTTAAGCGTTCATGATCTCTTGCCCAAGGATCGAGGCCAGGACCTGACACCCCTATTGCTTTGGCCACACAGAGGGGGCAGTCACCTGTCCTCAGAGAACACCATGGCTCCAGGTGGCTCCAGAGGCCCCCTGCTGCCTCCCAGTCTGATGACAGGGACTTTAATTTCAGAAACGCAGTGCTGCCCACCTTTGCTGCTCCCTTCTGTGCGTGCCTGCCCGCCCGGGCTCAGGCTCCAGGCAGGACAAGGGCAGGCCTGTGCCTTCTCTGTGTGCTCAGCAGGGTAGGGGAGAGATCCAGGAAGCCAGGGCTTGCCAGGGCTCAGGGGCAGGGCGGGACCGGAGAGGAAGGCCACTTCCTGCACCACTCCGAGAGCTCACCTGTGAGGCCTCAGACAGCTGGAGGGGAGACCCGCCCCCGGGGCTGAGGAGGGGGGGAGCTCCATTCCCCCAGGGAGTTCCCCAGGAAGTGCTCTGTGTCAGCCGCGGTAAACAAAGGCCTGCTGCCCTCGGGACCCTGCCTCCTGATGCGCCCTTTTCCACCCCCACCCCAGGAACAGTAGCCAGACCTTTGGGTCTTTGCACAAGTCTGGGGGTGCCCACCACTGCCTGGACTTGCCGTCTGCCCTTTCTCTCCTTCCTCCCTGGCCATCTGGCTGAGACAGGGGGACTCGGATTGGAAGAAGGATACCTACTCCCTGCCCCACCCCTCGCTGTGGGCAGGGGGCAGGGGCCTAGGCCTAAGGAGGGAGCCCCAGCCTGGAGTGCCCTCCCATACCTGTTCTCTGCCCTGGCAGTACTGAGCAAACCGCCTGGGCCGCAGGCATCCCCACCCTCCCGTCAGACACCCCATCCCTCTGGGGGTGCCCATGCTGGACTGGGGCAGCACAGAAAGACTAGGCTTTCCCGGATTGTGGAGGAGAAACCTCTCCTGCCTGGGGTGCTGGGAGCACAGGGCTCCCGGGTCTCTGGCCTCTGATCCTGCCTGTGACACCCACTCACAATGAAGCCTGACGCTAGCCCTCCCCCAGAGGGGATTCTGCCCTGGGCCCTGGCGCCCAGGGTAGGCCCCTCTCTCTGCTGCTGCAGTTGAGGCTTGGGGACACCCGGCAAGGGATACCTGGCGGCTGCCGGGGCGCAGCGAGGCCTGCCTCGGGAAGATCTTAGACCTTCGCCGGGCCTGGTCGCCCGGCACATCCCCACGGGTGAGGGGCTCCCGATCCGCCTACCCGTCCATGGGAGCCCCAACTCTGGGGGTGGGGTCTGCGTCTCCAGGGGGCCCTCCGGACGGGCGTTGGGGACCGTCCGCAGGGAGCCCCGGGGGCGGGGCCGAGGCAGAGGGGCGGGGCGTCCTCGTCCGCCCCCCGCCCCCCACCGCGCCCGCCGGCTCCCGGGTCTCTAACCTGCCGCTCAGGTTCCTCCCCGCGGCCCCGCCCTGGCCCGGCCCAGCCGCGCGTCCCTCCCGCTGCCGAGCCCGGGCGCCCAGGCGAGAAGCCGACAGACCGGCGGACGGACGCGCGGACAAGGGGACCCACGGGCGGCGCGATCGCGGGGCCGCGAGGAGCAGGTGAGTGCCCCACGGTCTCCACCTGCCCACCCCGACCTGCCGGGCACCCGCCCGCGCTTTGGCGGAGGAGCGACCCAGAATCCCTGCGGACAGACGGCGGTCTAACTCGGCCTCAGTTTCCCCAGCCGGCCTTGCGATGGGGGCTCTGGCCAGAGTCTGTGGGCCGGGCCGGAGTGCAGGAGGCAACAACAGGGATGCGATAGGGCTGCGCGGAACCTGCGTCCAGAAACCTGGTCCCACTGCGGCCTGCTCTGCCCGGACTGATCCTGGGGTGGTGCCGGTGCGCAGGGACTTTTTAAAGGCAGTGGCCCCTGAGTCAGCTGGCCCCCTCCCAGCCCTGGGGCTCGGCGGACGGAACCCCTTCCTCCAGCGAAGGGGGTGGGAAGCGGCTTCTCCCCCGCCCCTGGAAGGTCCCAAACCCCCTTCCAAGAGACAGGCTGAGGCCTCCTTTGCGGCCAGTGGCTCCCTGTGGGTCGGGTAGGGAGGCACTTCCTGGGTGTCTGAGCCAGGAGGGAATCCAGGGCCAGAGAAGCATCAAGCTAGGGTCAAGTTCTGGGTCAAGGGGTGTGGGAGTTTCAGGGAGGAGGAGGCTGTGTGCTGGGTTGCAGGAGGCCTGTGTGTGCCGGACCTGAGGCTCCCCCAGGTTCCTTCTTCCTGGGCCAGGCTGGCCTGGGGCCGCCCCTGCATGGGAAGGTGTCCCTGGTGGCAGGGGAGGAGGGTAGGCAGGCATATGGTGTTTCTGAGGTGTACCCGAAGACCACCTCTGCCCCAGCTCCAGGGGTAGTCAGCCCCAGCAGTGAGCCAGGGCCCAGCTGGGGGCGCCTCTCCTTCCCTACCCCTGCACTGCTCCCCCAGCTCCCTTGGGGGGGAGGGGGGAGGGCCCTGCCCCAGCGGGCCTCTCCTGGGGCCCACCTAGGACTAGGACTGGGCCTCAGCGCCTCTGTGCCTCAGCATGCCGCCCCGCCCAGTCTCGGATCCCCTGTGCCTGCCTCCCCAGCGCAACTGGAGCCCACCCCTTCCCCACCCAGGCTTAGCCCTCCTTACCAGCCAGGCTGGGCCCTCCCCACCAGAAGGCTCCCAGATGGGGCAGAGCCAGGGCCAGAGGGGTTCCCCCATTCCAGGGCTCCACCCTGCTCCCTCTGGGCCTTAAGCCGACTCCTCCCCAAGGTCACTTGGCTGTGAGCTGGAATTTGAACTTGGAGCTGGTCCCTCCACCCTCCCTGCCCTGCTGGGGCCTCCACCACAGCCCAGCCAGGCACCATGCTCGGCCCTCCCTTCGCACCCGGAAGATGGCCGCAGGAAAACCAAAGTGCTGGGCTGGTCCCAATCCCTTGGGCCCACACGGCTCCCCTCCCCCAGCTGCTCCCCACCCCAGATGTCAGCACCTGGACTCACATCTGTGGCTGGCTATGCCGGTCCCCCACCCTGCTCCAGGGAGTTGAAGGCCATGGGTTCATGGCTATGCCTGGCCTAGGCGCCCCAAGGAGGGGAGCTGTGTGTCACAGCCTGTGTGTGGCTGTGTGTGCCCAGGGCCTAGTTTTTCTGCCCAGGTGTGTGTGTACCCAGACACACGTGCCCAGTGTCCTTGGCTCAGCCCGCCAGGAATCCCATTAAGCAAACACTCGGTTCTCTCGCTGAGGTCATGAGCATTCCGGACATTCTCCACAGACAGGTGATCAGAGGAATCTGGCCAAGCCCCTACTCCCACTCACCCTCAGAGAGCCAGGACCCTCAGGGGCACATGGGAGGGGGTGGTCTAAAGCTCCCAGGCCTCTCACACCTCCCGGAAACCCTCTTTGTCAGTAGGACCTGGTCAAACCAGAAGGAACCCTGGATACCCATTCCCCTGGCCTGGGACTACCCACTCTGGCTGACCCTACATACAGAGGGACAGCCTTGTCAGAGGTCCCCAGGGGACACAGATCCCACAGAACATGTTAGCCTGGCCCAGAGGGGCCAGGTCTGCTCACCACCCAGAGGATATGCTCCCTCTAGACTTTGTTTTGGGCTCTGGGTCCCCAACCTCCCTCCCCGTCCCCCACCCCAGCACCATCCAGGGTCCGATCTCATCCTGTGCTGCCTTCCTCTGGTATGGCTCCCACCTGCTTCAGGGCCTTTGAACATGGTTTCCCTCTGCTTGGAAGTGGTTCCTCTCCCAGGTCCCCTTTCAGAACCCCAGGACACTGTCCTTGCAGGCCTGCCCCAGATAGCCCTGAGAGTGGGACTCCTCTACTGGCCCATCCTGGGGATATGTCTGCCAGTTGCGACCTGGGCCCGGAGGTCCTGCTGTGGCCAGGAGGCAGGACTCTGCTCCCTGAGGACACCCTGCCCAAGCACCCTGGGGAACCTGGGGAGGATATCAGGGCTGCAGCCTCTGGATCTGGGTGGGCGGAAGAGATCAAGCCCTGCCTTGGGAGCCGTGAAGCCACCCACCAGGCCCCAGGGAGGTGTGAGCTCGGCTGTGGTCTCCACTCAGGTGAGGGTCCGGCACGAGGTCCTGGACTCCAGCCACAAGGCTGCCTTTCCGTCAGCAGCCGCCACCAACGGCGCCATGAGCCAGCTGGGGCCCGTGAGCGGCCACCCGGATGCTGCCAAGTGAGTCCCCACCCCCCCCAACCCGAGCAGTCCCCAGGGAGGGGTGCGGTGTGGGCCTCGCCCTCAACAGCCCCTCCCCTGCAGTGGCAGCCTGGGCCGGTCTGACGGTGTGGCCAAGATGAGTGCCAAGGACCTGTTTGGTGAGTGGGGCTGGAGGATGGGCTCCGGGGTCTCGCCCACTCCCTTCTCCCAGGCTGTGCCAGGCCCCCACCAGAGGGAGGCAGGTCAGCCCTCAGTGCCCAAAGGAGGCCCCTGGACCCTCAAGAAGCAACAGCTGCTCAGGTCCCTCCTTCCCTCCCTCACCGTAAGGAGAGAGGCCTTTACTAATAATTCAGGGACCATCAATATTGATTGGGCAGTGCTCCTCGCCGCAACCCGATAGCCCAAGGGGCGCGGCTTCGGCTGGACGGAGCTCCAGGCGGCTGAGGGGGCGGAGCCTGGCCAGCCCCGCCTCGCCCCGCTCTCCCCCTCCCCCTAGACACACTTTTGTGCCCTGTCTGGAAAGTGAGGAGCCCCGGGGAGGGGCCGGGAGATGTTAGCTCTCAGCTCTTGGAGACGGGGACGCCCGAGACTGGACACTTGCCCAGGAAGGTGGGCAAGGAGCCTCCTTGGAGGAGATGCTCAGCCTCTTCCAGCCCCCCGGGACCAACCCCTAGCAAAGGGGTCCTGGGGGCAGAGGGAGCTGGGGGTCCTTTCCCAGGGGCCATCCTGGGGGCAGAGGGAGGTTTTCGCTCTGCCCAGAAGGTCCCTCACATTTCACACCCTCGAGTCCTTTCTGGCGGCAGCACCCCTCACCTCCACTCGGCCCTCCCTGTGGCCCAACCTGGGCGTCCAGTCCCACCTGTACCGGGGCTGTGGGGCCTGCCCTCTGGTGTGAGTGACTGGTGACTCCCTGCTCAGAACAGAGGAAGAAGTACTCCAACTCCAACATCATCATGCATGAGACCTCCCAGTACCACGTCCAGGTGAGGCTAGCCCCCAAGGAGCACCCCCAGCGTCCCTGGGCAGATGGGGAAACTGAGGCACAAGGAGACAGCCCAGCTTCCAACTCCCACAGCAGGCAGCCAGAGCCAGGGACTGCCCCGCACCTGTCCTAGGATCAACCACAGTAGGGGGGGCCCTCCAATCCTGGGAAGGTCACAATCCAAGGGGGCCATAAGAGCCATGGAGCTGTTTCAGGGGAATGAAGCTGCCAGTAGCCAGCACAGGCCAGGCAAAGACAAGGCCTGGGTGCTGTCCGGCAGCACTCAGGTGGGAAAGCCCTGTGAGAGGGAAACTGGCATCCTGGCCCCCAAACGAGAAACTGGATTGGCAAGGAGAAGATGGGCACAGACACGCTGAGTGAGGTCCTGCAGGGAAAGCCTCAGATGGCCGGTTCAGATGGACTCTGGGAGGGTCCGCACTCGTTAGCCACACTCCAGACCAGCGGCCAGCTCAGAAGGGCTTTCACCCTGGGTGAACTTTGATTCACACTTAGAACTCAGGAAATAAGTTTTTAAATGACCTTCCTGGTTATTGGCCACTGTCCCAGCCTGTAGGACAGCAGGGCTAAGAATGGCTGAGGAGGGAGGAGGGGCAGCCTTAGACCAGGAACGGGGGGCTTGGACCAGGAAGTAGGGGGGACCCTGAGCCAGGAAGGGGGGCCCTGGATCAGGAAGAGGAGTCCTTGGTCAGGAAGGGGGGCCCGGACCAGGAAGATGAGGACTTCCCTCCCCACAGAACCCCCAAACCCAAGAGGCCAGGCAAGTCACCGCTTTCTGAGCGTCAGGTTCCTGATCTAGACGTGGGGCCACGGAGACACTGGGAGTCCGTAGGCTCCTGAACTGGGCTGTGTTGAGAGAGCAGCCCTTCCTGCCCGGCAGTTGCTGGCTCAGGGTCAAAGGGCAGGGTACAGGGTGGGGACAGGTCAGGTTCGCCCCTTCCTTCCAGGCAGCTCGGCCACCCCTCTCGGGGTTGGGGCAACGTTGCCCTTCTGGACTTTGCTCCGAGCTGATGTGTGGAGAGACCCCAGCCCAGGGCTACCTCTCCTGCTTGTCCAGCAGCTGGCAGGGCTGGGGAAGTGGATGGGCTTTGCCTGCCCCTCCCAGGTGAGGAAACCAAGGCACACAGAGAGGGTAGGAGGTGGGAGCAAGATCAGACCCAACCCTGGCGATGGGGCTGCCAAGCCTCAGGGTTTGTTTGTTTTCCTGTTTTCTAAGTTAGTGTGCCACAGGGGAGGGTTGGTCCGGCCGTTCAGGATGGGGCCGTCACCCACATGGCCGGGACACAGCAGCTCCTTCACCCCGGAACGCACTGCCACTGACCTTGGCGGCCACCGTGTTCCCCGTGCGCCATCCGGCAACACCACTCTGTCCCGTGGCCCTCGAGTTTTGCTTTTGGAGAATCCCCCTCTCTCCCCGCACTGCTCTGGTCGTGGAATTCATATTAGTACACCTTTGTTCTGCGGGGTGGACTTCTTTCAAGAAAACGCACGTGTAGGATGAGGCTTCTCTAAGCTCTGGGCGCGAGGAACATCTCCCCCGGGCATGCTAGCCCCTGGGGACCCGGCATGTGGCCCTGCTTCTGGACACGTGTGTGTACAACTGCACCTGCTGGCTGGTGGGAGCCCTTTGCACACATCGTTAAGTGTGTGGGCTAGAGAGAACTTCTGCCGGTCTGGCTCGCTGGTTGATGTGTGTGACTGTCTTCGCGTGAGCAGAAGGGCGTGATTCTGAAGCTGTCCGGCCATATACACTTCCCCCAAGGTTAAGGGCGTTTTGTTGGGGGTTTTTTTTAGGGTGGAAGTGCGCGGTCATTGCCTGACCCAAGGCTCTGAAGAGTCCTCCCTGTGTCTTCTTCTAGAAACCCCAGAGTTGAGGCTTTTACATTTCAGTCTATGACCCACTTGAACTTGATTTTTGTGTGTGAGACTTGCGGCTAATTTTTCCCCATAGCCTCGTGCTGTTACACCAAGAAGACATTCCTTCTCCCATCCTTGGGTGCTGTCCAAGGATGCTTTGGTGTCCTTGCCAAAAACCAAGGAGCTGAACGTGGATGGGTCTGTCCATGCTTTGTTTCCCGACCTTTCCCTCACTCGGGCTTTATTACTGAACTTGAAACCGGGCGGTTTCATCCTGCAGCTTTGTACGCCTTCTCCTAAGACCTTCCGACCGGCGCCAGCGCTTTGGGCTTCGTTCACATTCCAAGCCCCCAGAAAAGCCTGCTGGAATTTTTTTTTAAGACTTTATTTGTTTATTTGACAGAGATCACAAGTAGGCAGAGAGGCAGGCGGGGGGCGGGGCGCCCCAAGCCTGCTAGAATTGTGACTGGCATTGAGTCAGTTGAGTCCCACCAAACACATGTCCGCGTGAAAGGACATTGCAATGACCCTGAGTCCTTCCCAGCTGCAGACGCGCTCTCTGTGCGTCAGGGTCACTCCGACTTCCCTCAGAATGTTCGTCGTTTCCACTGGAGGGGTCTTGAGTGTCTTTTCTCTACACATTCCTCAGGTATTTGACGTGTAGAAGCTGTTATAAATGGTACAGTCTTTTAAAAAGCCATTTTCGGGGGCGCCTGGGTGGCTCAGTGGGTTAAAGCCTCTGCCTTCGGCTCAGGTCATGATCTCAGGGTCCTGGGATCGAGCCCCACATCGGGCTCTCTGCTCAGCGGGAGCCTGCTTCCTCCTCTCTCTCTGCCTGCCTCTCTGCCTACTTGTGATCTCTGTGTGTGTGTCTCTCTCTCTCTCTGTCAAATAAATAAAATACAATCTTTAAAAAAATAAAAAGCCACTTTCGGATCATCACATGTGGAGGAACGATTAAATTTCTGTACAGTGACCGAGTGCCCTGAGACCTGGCTGAACTCGCCTGCTCGTGTGAGCGATCCGCTTGTGACCCACTGACTCTCCTACTCCACAGTCTGAAATACAGGGCTTCATACCGTGTTTTTAGGACTTCGCCGTCCTGGCTGGGACCGGCAGTACGGTGCGGAGTAAAAGGAGCACGGAGTGCACGACCCTGTGTCCTATTCTAGGAAGAAATATCCAGTATTTCCCTGCTGGGTAGGCTGCACATTTTTGTAGGTAGTTTATGAGTGAGGAAGCTCCTTTCCATTCTTTGCTGAGAGTTTTTATCATGAGAGGTGTTAAATTCTATCCACTGCTTTCTCCAAATTTACAGAGATGTATTTGCGACTGCTAAGGCCGTCACACTGATTTTTCTGAATGTTGAGCCGCCCTTGCGTTTCTGCGATGGACCTCGTTCATCCGTGTGCAGGATCCTTTCTGTGTGTGGAGGGACTCACTTGTGGATATTTTGTTTGCGTTAATGTTCATTAGAGGTTTTGCTCTATAATTTTCCTGTAAAGCCCTGACAGATTTTGGTGTCAGAATGGTGGTGCCTTATTAAATGAGTGGGGAAAGCATTCCCTACTCCTTGGCTTTCAGAAAGAATTTGTGAAAGACTGTTTTTACTTCTTCCTTAAGTTTTTGTGCATGTAAGATCTGTAGTGATCACCCTTCTCTTTTTTCTAGTTATTGGTCATTTGTGCTCTCTCTCTCTCTCTCTCTCATCAATCTTGGTGGGGTTTATCCATTTCATTCATCTTTTCAGATTTTCATAATCTTTTCAGAACAAACTTCAGACATAGTTGCTTTTTCTGTACTGTTTGTATGGTTATGACTTTTCTCTCCTCTTAACTTCCTTCTTCCCGCTTACTTGGGTCTCATGTGCTCGTCTTTTTCTAGTTTCCTACAGAAGACGTGCAGGTCACGGATATGAAATATTTCTTCTTTTCTAACTCATTCATTTACGGCTGTACATTCCCTCCTACCAACTCCTTTCTCCATATCCTGCACATATGGTACTCATGCCTTTAGCTTTTATTTTTTTAAGATTTAATTTTACTTATTTGAGCAACAGAGAGAGAGCAAGAGCGGGCTGAGGGGCAGAGGGAGAGGGAGAAGCAGGCTCCCTGGCTGGACTCGACCCTGGGACCCTGGGAATCCTGACTTCATCCGAAGGCAGATGCGTCACCTACTGAGCCACCAGGGACCCCACGCTCACACCTTGATTGCCATTCAGTCCAGAACATTTTCTGATTCCCCACGACTACTTCTTTGCCCCATCTTTGTTCAAGGGAGCACTCACAGCGACACACTCACAGCGACGTTCTCCCCCTTTCCCTCCTTGTGGGGCCGGCAGTGTCCTGAGGTCGCTCCGTGCTCTGTCTTTGTTTTCATTTGTCTCAAAGTCTTTTCCGATTTCCCTCCTGACATCTTTCACCATTGGATGTTGATGTAGGAGTGCACTGCTCAATTTCCAATTATTTGAGGGTTTTCTAGTCATTTCTGTTACTGGTTCCTCTATAATCCCATTATGGGCAGAACACACTTTGCCGGGTTTCCGTCACCTGGAGGGCACGGAGACTTGTCTCGGAGCCGGGGACATAGTTTTGCTTGGTTCAGTGGCGTCAGGTTTTGCCAATAGTGTGTGCTCTGGGGCTCGCCCGCCTCGGCCACTGTACGGCCCCTGTGTGTTTCTGCCCTGTGTGTTTCTGACGCACAGGTCGGCGGGGACCACCCCCCACAACCACACTGGGTCTTGAATGGGGTAGGATTGCCTGAATTGTGAGGAGAGAGCGCCTGGGGCGTGCAGAGTGGGGGCTCCTGCTCCCCCACAGCTAACCTGCGCGCGGGGCCCGCCAGGACTCATTGGACTGGTCCGTGAAACAGGCAGAAGGCTGGCCCTTGACCCCCTCAGAAGCAGGGGCGTCGGACTGCACTGGGCAATTCTCTTGTTGAATGAGAAGACACACAATTTTCTGTATTAAAAAGTGAGTTATATTTCTTTTCCCAGAGACTCTCTGTTCAGCTCTTTTGCCAGTTTTTCTGTTGGAATGTTAATCTTTTACTTATTCACAGATTTTTTTCATTCATTTAATCATTTATCTCTGGTATTCTTACTAACTATACTTAGCAAAGTAGAGCTTTTAACAAAGGAAGAGCTGCCGTTGGACTAAACGTTGGTCTTTTTACACATTAAGATCAGCCTTCACCGCATCTATTACAGCTATTTGTCCCACTGTTGTTTTTCTTTTTACTTTGTAGACAGTGTTTTCTCCAGGCAGAAATGTTTGCTTTTTTTTTTTTTTTAAGATTTATTTATTTATTTGACAGACAGAGAGGCAGGCAGAGAGAGAAGAGGAAGCAGGCTCTCCAGTGAGCAGAGAGCCCGATGCAGGGCTCAATCCCAAGAACCTGAGACCATGACCTGAGCCAAAGGCAGAGGCTTTAACCCACTGAGCCCCCCAGGTGCCCCAGAAATGTTTACTTTTTCATTAGGTCAGATTTTTTGGTCTTTTCTTCTGAGCACCTGGATGTTCTTCCTTGCTTAGGAAGGCCCCTCTGTGAGGAAGGCCGTTCTGAGGTTACCAGAAATCGTCCAGCACTTTCTCCCAGTGCTTTTGCAGTTGGGCCTTGACTGCCCTGCGTTGCAGTGTTTCCAGGTGGCTCAGCGCGGCTAACTGACTGCAGCGAAGGTCAACAGGACACACATGGGGGAGCCTAGAGGGAGGAGGAGCCTGAGTCAGGCCTGGGCACAGAGGAAGGAGGAGGGTTCCCAGAAGGGGAGGACTGGGCTGCTCAGGGGTCCCCAGGGCCACCCCACAAAGCACTCCACGTGGCCGTTCAGATGCTCCCTCATCCCAGTACACTCACTGAGGGCCTGCTGTGTGCCAGGCCCCATCCCAGGCACTAGGGGAATAGCAGTGAGTGAGCCCAGCAGCCAGAAGCTAGTGTCGGATTGTGATCAACAAAAACAAGGCAGGTCAGGGGGTTGAGAGTGCGCCGTAGCCAGGCAGGGGGAGCAGGTCTGAGCGGAGCCTTGAAGGAAGAGAGGGCTGGGGAAGAGTAGGGGGTGCTAACTGGGAGTAGACCATGCAAAGGGCCTGGGGTGAGCCTGAGCCAGGTCTGCTGGGGGCACAGGGAGGCTGGTGTGCTCGGAGCCCAGCCACAGCAGATGAGGTGGGGAGACAGATAGTTTGTGTGCGGTTGCCAAAGGTTTTGTTGGGCATGTCCACGGCCCCCACAGACAGCCAGTAAGACAGAGCAGAGACCTTCCCCCAAGGTAGGGCTATGTCTCTTCAGACCCCCAGGGTAGGGGATGTTCCCCCCACACCCCACCCCCAGGCTCCCAAGGTTGGCCTTGGCGCCTCGGGCCCCCGGGGTGCAGCCCCTTGACCCTCGTTTGGGCACAAGGAGGGCCCTCCCCAGCGTGACCGCCTGGCCACCCCCAGCACCTGGCCACGTTCATCATGGACAAGAGTGAGGCGATCGTGTCAGTGGACGACGCCATCCGGAAACTGGTGCAGCTGAGCTCCAAGGAGAAGGTGTGGGCGCAGGAGATGCTGCTGCGGGTCAATGACCAGTGTCTGCGGCTGCTGGACGTGGAGACCCAGGTGTGGCAGCCTCGCGGCAGCCGGAGGCCAGAACCCAGGCTGCGGGGCCTCCCTGTGGGGCGGGGCGGGATGAGGAGGGCGAAGGTTGGGTGGGGCAGGGAGGGCTGGGGGCGGGAGCGGAGCGAGCATCCAGGCAAACCCCAGCCCACGCAGTGCCTTGCCCGCCTCTGGCTCCAGCCTGTCTCGCAGCTGTCCCCAGGCAGCGCCACGGCCTGGTAGAGTCCAGGTCGGCGTCTGTGCCCTGTCCCCCATCAGTTATGTCTGTGACCGTGTCCACGGCACACACCCCGCAGGCTGGGCTCCCGGGGCATGCCCGGGGCGCTGTGTCCGTGGCCCAAGTCCACCCGGGCGCACGTGGCTGTGAGCCTGCGTCTGTGGGGCCGTGTGTGGGTGTCACATCCGGACGTCGCGCCCGGGTGACCCGGCCGAGCTGCCTCCGAGACCCCTGTCCCTCAGGAGGAGCTGGAGAACTTCCCGCTGCCCACTGTGCGGCACAGCCAGACAGTGCCCGACCAGCCGTGGTGCCCCTCGGTGCTGCTGCTTGTGTGCCAGGACTCGGAGCAGAGCAAACCCGACATCCACTTCTTCCACTGCGACGAGGTGGAGGTGAGGAGGGGGCGGCGGCGGGAGGGCCGGGGCGCCTGTGCCTGCCTGACCCCCGGTGCCCTCAGGCGGAGCTGGTGCACGAGGACATCGAGAGCGCGCTGGCCGACTGCCGTCTAGGGAAGAAGCTGCGGCCGCAGACCCTGAAGTAGGCGGGGGGGTGCGGGGGGGGCGGCGGGAGGGCCGGCCGAGGGGGACGGGCCAGGCTGAGCGGCCCTTCGCCCCCCTGCAGGAGCCACCAGGAGAAGATCCAGCAGCGGCAGTCCATCCTGCCCGCCCCCAGGGGCCCAGCCCCCATCCCCTTCCAGCGCTACGGCGGTGACTCCCGGGCCACGAAGAACCGAGTGGGCCCGCCGATGCCTCTCCCTGAGCCAGGTCTGCGGAGGGAGCCAAGCTGGGGCTGCCTTCGGGTCCTTGGGGGCAGCCCGCGGCAGGAACAGCTGATGTCTGCCTCCCCCGTCCAGGCTTCCGCCGTAGGGAGTCGCAGGATGAGGAGCCCCGCGCGGTGCTGGCTCAGAAAATAGAGAAGGAAACGGTGTGTCTTGGGGCGAGTGGGGCGCCCCTCACCTGCCCCGGGTCCCCATCGTGGAGGCCCCTCCAGCCAGCCCCCAGGCAGCACCCACCTCCTCCCCCAGGCCAGGGACCAAGAGACAGTGTGTGGGGCAGTCCCTGCCGCCAGTGGGGGCGCCGGAGACTGACCCCCGCCTCCACTCTGACCCCAGCAAATCCTCAACTGTGCCCTGGACGACATTGAGTGGTTCGTGGCTCGGCTACAGAAGGCGGCAGAGGCTTTCAAGCAGCTGAACCAGCGGAAGAAGGGGAAGAAGAAGGGGAAGAAGGGGCCAGCAGGTGCAGAAGGGGAGGTGGTCCACAAACAGGAGCCACGGGGGGGGGGGGGGAGACGGGAGAGGGTGGAGAGAACAGGGTGCGAAGGAGGCAGGCGGCCACTGCTGCAGGAGATCCGGTCCGAGCGGGCGGGCGGCTGGAGGCAAGGCCCCCCACCCCGGCGCGGGAAAGGCCAGCCAAGCTCAGAGCCGCCGCCCCCCATTCCAGAGGGTGTCCTGACGCTGCGAGCACGGCCCCCCTCTGAGGCCCAGTTCATCGACTGTTTTCAGAAAATCAAGCTGGCTGTCAACCTGCTGGTGAGTACTAGGCCCCCTCCCACCCCCATCCCACCCGCCCCTCTGTGCTGACACTGGGGGGAGTGGGGGTCTTTGCCCACCTGTGTCTGCAGCACCATCACCCGCCCCGCCTGTCTGCCCACCCCCAGGCCAAGCTGCAGAAGCACATCCAGAGCCCCAGTGCGGCTGAGCTCGTGCACTTCCTCTTCGGACCTCTGGACCTGGTGCCTGGGCTGGGAGCAAGACCCCGGGGTGGTTTGCCCCTGGCTAAAGGGGGGGGGACAAATGCCTACCTTGGGCAGGCAGCTGGGGCCACGTGCCCAAGCTGTGGGCATGGCTGGCCTGTGGTGCTGCCAGCGAGCCAGCTGGGATGGGGGTCCGGTGCTCAGGGGCTCCTCTGAATCCCGCTGTGCCCTAGATCATCGGCACCTGTGGGGGCCCAGACATCGCACGCTCTGTCTCCAGCCCCATGCTTTCCCGAGAGGCCGTGGGCTTCCTGCAAGGCCACCTAGTCCCCAAGGAGATGACGCTATGGGAGTCACTGGGGGAGACATGGATGCGTCCCCGGTGAGGCAGCAGCAGCGGGCAGGGGGGCGTGGGAAGGGCCCCTGGGCTGGGTGTGGGGTGGGAACCAGCTGAGGCAGGGCCCGTTCCCATGGGTGGGCCTGGCTCACCCCAGGACCTCCCACCTCCAGATCAGAGTGGCCACGGGAGCCGCAGGTGCCCATCTACGTGCCCAAGTTCCACAGCGGCTGGGAGCCACCCCTGGACGTGTTCCAGGAGGCTCCCTGGGAAGTGGAGGGGCTGGCGTCTGCCCCCGACGATGAGGTCAGAGCACCCATGGCCCCACCCCAAACTGGCCTTCCACCTCCTCCACCACTGCTCACCTCCTCAGCCCACTTCCGTCCACTGCCCTCACCCCACACCAAGCCCAGGTGGTCCTTTTTCCCCACAGCCGACTCCCGTGAACCGATCATCCTTCCGAAACTCCCCCAAACACAGCCTTGTATCTGAGCCCACAGCTCCAGCTCCGGGAGACCCTCTTTCCCCAGTCAGCGCCCCACATGCTCACAGGTAAGTCCTTCTTAAAATGAGGGAGTGTGACACTCACCCCTAGAAACAGGGAGGCTCTGAGAGGAGTATGCTGCCACCAGGTGGCGGCAAATGTCTTGTTCATGGCGTTCAAAACGGCATTTTTCCAAACTAGAACCAGGTTTTCATTCTAACTTTACAACATAAAATTGAAGAGAAGAATCTCAAAAACCACCTGTAAACTCAATACTCTCACACGTGATCTCTCTTTGGGTGTCCTCATGTATGTCTTAGAATCATGGTTAGAAGTTTACCAAGTCACTAAACTTAAGTGGGGTCACCAACCCTGTCGCCCCAATGGGGCTGATTGAGGCCCAGCTTCAGAGCCAGAAAAGGAGAACTGAAAGTTTGAGCCAAGGACAGCCGCTCTCCCCGCCCCCACACACACTTGCACAGACCGGGGTCTGGGGACTGCCCATCCTTCCTCCCCTCTCCACCTCCTTTCTGTTCTCGCTCCTGGCCCAAGAGCTGTCCGGGAAGAAAGTTTGTTTCCCTGCCAGATCCCAGGATTCGGGTTCAGCAGGAGAGGGGCGAAATCTGTGCCTTAAATCTGACCCTCTCGATGCCCCCACAGAGCCAGCCTGATGTCCTTGGCTCCTGGCCTAGGACCACACTTGAAGAAACATTTTCATCCTTTGGCCTCCAGCCCCTGGCAAGCCCATCCCGGCCAGTCTGGCTCTGGGGCCACCTCGGCCTCAGCTCCCTCTCCTGTATGGTGTCCCAAGGCCTGCTGTGTGAGGGAGCTGCCTTGATGACTGGGGGCCAGACTGGCCAGGAGGGGACAGCCCAGCCTGGGTGGTAGCCACAGGCCTGCTCTGTGCTGAGGCCAGGACGCCAGCGCCACGCCCCTGCAGCTCGTGGGCAGTCCACTGTGGGTGCCTGTGCACAGGGCTGTGGCTCTGAAAACAGCTGGCCCTCCCTCACTGGTCAGCTGCTTCTAGGTATGGCAGTGACCCTGTCATTTCCTGGGTGCCTTCTGGCTCTGGGTCCCCTGAGGGACCAGGCCTGGCGGCCCCTGACACAACCTAACCTTAGGCAGGCCTTGCCATGCCCACAGGCCCCCTCGTCCCGTCCCCCCCCCCGCCCCCCCGCACAGCCCCCACCTCCGTGCAGGGGCCCTAGACGCTCTGGGGCTGTCACAGTTTCCATTCCCGGCTGAGGAGCCTCAGCTTCTCTCCACTGTGACCTCAGAGAGCTGAGCAGGAGGCAGCACGCGCTTGGGAAGCTGCTCCCCCAGCCCAGCCCCAGACCTAGGAGGAGACCCCAGCCCTTCTGTTCCACACAGGGGTTACGAACCGGGGCCAGCCATGGCCAAGTACGTCAGGATCCTCTATGACTTCACAGCCCGCAACGCCGACGAGCTGTCGGTGCTCAAGGATGAGGTCCTGGAGGTGAGCCGGGGCCTGGGATGGAGGGGGCCCCCCAGGAGAGGCAGGGCAAGTGGTGGCCGGGACAGGCTGGAGCCAGGTGACCCCATGCTGGCACATGGTGCACCTGTCCAATCCCTTTCCCCAGGACCCCTACTCCTGGGCTCCAGTCTGGGTCCACGGCCTGCCCCTCCCCCACCCCCAGCACAGCCTGGCTAAGGGGCCTCCGTGTCTTGGGCATCTCAGATGGGGGCTCAGGGGCCCCCGTGCTGGGCTAAGCTGGGCTCACGCTGAAGGATGGGCGTTCTCTGTGCCAAGTGGGGGACCTTCTAGGTCTCAGCCAGGGCTCATCATTCACATCCACCCCTGGAGCCCCCTTGAGACACAGTCTTTTTGGTGCCAGTCCTGAATCCAGGCCACCCATTGGAGGACTGAAAGTGGAGCAGGCCGGTGTGTGGGGGGGTGATCTATATGCAAAGGCCGGAGGCACCCTCACTCAGGATGCTGCTGGGGCGGGGTAGGGGGAGATAAGGGAGGGACCGTAGCCTCTGTGGGTGGGATGGAAGGCAGGGCAGGGCAGGTACTCCGAAGGGGACTCGAAGGGGACTCGTGACTTCCCCACAGGATTGTGTGGGGGTGGTTCAGAGCAAACACCTAGAACTCTCTCTGGCCTGCCTGCAAAGAGGTCCTCACACACCCTGCGCTGGGGACCACAGCAGGGTGGAGGCCTGTGAGTTGGCGATGCTGTGGGGGGGTGCCTGCAGGTGCTGGAGGACGGCCACCAGTGGTGGAAGGTTCGGAATCGCAGCGGCCAGGCGGGCTACGTGCCCTACAACATCCTGGATGAGACTCGGCTGGAGGAGGCACCCCCCCAGCAGGTGAGTGCCGGGAGCCGCTGGAGGAGGCACCCCCACAGCAGGTGAGTGCCGGGAGCCGCTGGAGGAGGCACCCCCACAGCAGGTGAGTGCAGGTGAGTGCCGGGAGCCGGGGCTCTGCTGCCCCAACTACGGAGGGGGAGGGGCGGGGGCAGACCCACAGCACCCCAGGATCCTCCCTCCCGGTGGGGTGGGGCCCGCAGGCCCAGGATGGGGGGCGGGGGCGAGAAGGGGTGCCTCAGCTTCTCCTCCCGACAACGCTGCGGGGAGGAACGCTGAGATGAAGCTGATGGCGTCCCCACCCCCGCAGGCCAGTCTGAAATATTGGGGTCCTGCCAGCCCCACACACAAGCTGCCCCCAAGCTTCGCAGGGAACAAAGACGGTGAGAGGCGCCCTGCCGGGGGATGAGGGCCACCAGAGCGAGGCGGGTACGGGGCCCTGAGCGCCCCCAGGGGGAGGCAGCGGGGAGAGGGTCCCCGAGCAGGGAACGGCCACCCCCACCCCACCCCCGCCCCGGGTCAGCTTGCGCCCTGAGCGCCGGCCCCGCCCGCAGAGCTGATCCACCACATGGACGAGGTCAACGACGAGCTCATCAAGAAGATCAGCCACATCAAGGCGCAGCCGCAGCGGCATTTCCGCGTGGAGCGCAGCCAGCCGGTGGCGGTGCCGCTCACCTACGAGTCGGGGCCCGCCGAGGTCCGCGCCTGGCTGGAGGCCAAGGCCTTCAGCGCCCGGTGCGTGCCGGGCGGGGCGGGGCGGGGCGTCGGGGCGGGGCGTTTGGGGCTGGGAGGGGGCCTAGGGCGGGGCCTTGGGGCTGAGGGAGGGAGAGGGCGAGCGGGCGCCCGGCGCTCACGCCCGCTCCGCCCCGCGCCCAGGATCGTGGAGAACCTGGGCATCTTGACGGGGCCGCAGCTCTTCTCACTCAACAAGGACGAGCTGAAGAAGGTGTGCGGGGAGGAGGGCATCCGCGTGTACAGTCAGCTCACCGTGCAGAAGGCCGTCCTGGAGGTGCGCCTGCCCTGCCCCGCCCTGCGCCTCCCCGCCCCTCCTCCCTCGGGGCTCCTGGGTGGCGGGGAAAGGGGGAGGCCCTGGGCTGCTGGCCCGGGGCGGGGCCTGAGCTGCTGAGGCTGCCCCACCCCCTCCCTAGAAGCAGCCGGGCGAGTCGGAGCTGGAGGAGTTCATCAGCAAGTTTCATTCCAAGACCCAGCGGAGGCTGGAGGACGACAGCTAGACCTGGCCGGCAGGGCCCGGCGCACCTGCGGCTGGGGGAGACCGAGACGTGCCTGCGGAGAGGCCCGCCTCAGTGCATGGAGTATTATTTTTGTATGAGTGTATACTTTGGACCACGGACACGGGTGGTGAGTGGTGCCAGCTGGGCACAGCTCACCTACTTCATGGCACAGGCCTGTCCTCAGGCTCGACAAGGCCTCAGCCTACACCTGCCTGCCTGCCCGGAGGCCTGCCTCCACCAAACTAGCCACCTGGAGATGCCAGCCCCTCATGCCCCTGCCCCCGAAGCCAGTGCCCGGCTTTTCCAGCCTCGCCCAGCCCCCTTCCTCCCATGACGCCTCTCCCTGAGGCTGCAAAGCCCCCAGGAGGCAGGCAGGGACCTGAACTTTGGCCCCCCATCCCCATTGGGGTTCCTCCTGGCACTCGTGACCCTGGCCCCAAACCTCACCTCCACGGCTGCTAGCTTTCCATGCACCTGACCCTCCACACCTCTGGGTGGGCTGTGGGCCAGAAGGGCAGCCAACCTGACCACCGGCTCTGAGCTGGGCTTCGCCCCCAGATATCGCCCATAGCGCCACCCAGCACGCTGCTTCTCAAGGGTGGCCTGGGGAGGTGCTCCGAACTCCCCTGGGGTGGGTGCGTGCTATACTCCCTCCGCCCTGTCCAGGATGCGGGGGGCGAGAAGGGGTGTCCAGATAGCCTGGACACGTACTCACTCAAGTACGATCTTAGACAGCCCCACACGCACCCAAGGCAGAACACAAGGAGGGAACTTGGCCAACCAAGTTTAAGGCCAGGCTTGCCCTGTGTGCTGTGTGGGTGGTGGGTGAGTCTTGGAGCCCTGAACTCTGCCGGTTACACCTAGAGATGAGAGGTGGCTACAGTTCAAAAGCCATGTCATTAAACCAGGGAAGGTCCTGACAGCCACGTGTCCGTGTCCTGGAGGTGGGCCGGGGTCCCCATGCGCCCGGAGCCTGCGTGCACTTGCAGCCTCTGTAAGAACCGCTGGGCAGAGGCCAGGTCACAGGCCTTCCAAATGAGGCCCTGTACCCCTGCCTTCAGTAGGGGTACCCAGGAGCCCCTCACCACCACATGTCCAAGCGGACCCCGAGGATATCCCTGGGAGGTGCAGGGTTGAGGGGCCCGTGCCCACTCTGCACGCTGTGGCTCTCCCAGCCCGAGTGTCCAGAAGGCCCAAGGAACCCAGGTGGGTGGAAGGGCTGGGGAGCCAGGTCTTCAGGACCTCAGGGCAGGCCAGCCAGGGGTGTGAGTCTGAGAGGCGAGGCGGAAGCTCAGCCCCACGCAGAGGGAGGTGCCGCGGAGAAGGGTGTGACAGGCACCAGACGAGGTGGTGGTGAGCTCGGAGGTGTCCGACAGGGAGCAGAGGAGCCCCTGGTCAGCGGCCCTCTGCACCTCCAGGACACCTGACCTCACCTGCTTGGCCCTCGGAGGAGGCCTCTGGCGCCCTCTGCTGGCGGCCCTACGTGTTGCAGAGTGTTGGGGGGAGGGGCGGGGGGCTCCAAGTACCCGGCCAGATGTGGAGGACAACTTGATTTGTGTTTCCCGGAAGCAGCGGGTGGACCAACCCTGGGTGAGGGTGTCTGCAGGGCTCATTCCTGGGGCCTCAACCACAGGGAGCTCCATGCAGAGGTCGTGCTTTGTGGGGTTGGGGGATGGAGAGGGCTGTCTCTCAGCTTTCGGCTGGTTGGCCACCAACCCAGGCTCAGCCCTCAGAAGCCCCGACTCTCAGCTGGGACAGACACACGGGGCTGGATCTGTCCACCAGGACCCGGCCCCCCGAAGCTGGGCTGCCTCTGGGCCTTGACCGCCATGGCCTCCTCTCCTCGGAAGAGGAAGGTCCTCCCTAAGCTCTAGGTCAAAAGAGGAAGGTTGATCCTCCCAGACCCAGGCAGGACCCCGCAGACAGGGAAATAGGACCAAAAAGGAAAAGGGAGGGGTTGGGTGTTGGCTGTCCCTCCAGAAACCTGCAGGTCCCTCTGGCCAGAACCACCCAGAAGGATGGGCCCCCTGACCAGACCACCCTCCCACCAGTCCTATTTGGTTGAGCCCCTCCTGTGGAGCAGGGATGGGCACCCCCAGCTCTGCCTGCTCTGAAGGGGGGCTCTGCTGGCCCTGTGGTGCCCACTAGAACTGGAGCTCAGAGGGACAGCTCCCTGTCCTGAGCCCACCCGGCAGGGCTCTGCCTTCAGCAGGAAGGTGGTGCTGGCTGGGCTTTGGCGACACGCCCTTCTAGCTGGGTCGCTTATTCCCTGGGAGCCCCAGAACCTACGCTTCTTTCCTTGTTCGTTCCTCCCCTCCTCCATCTCATCCACAGGCCACCTGCTCCATCCCCCTCTGTCCCCACTGTGCTCCCTGGACAGCCTGAGGAGGATCTGATCTCCAAGACCCGAGCCCCCTGGCTCCCTAGTACCCCAGGCCCCTCGTTCCCTAACCCCCTGCAGCCCTAAGCCAGCTCCCGTTACCCAGGAGCTATTGGTTCCAAGATGGCCCGGCCCCACCCATCTGCTGGGCCTCTGGGCCCCTGGAAGAGGCTTCCCCACCACTTCCTCGGATGTGAGTGTGGTGGGCCCAAAGTCACATTGCCTTCAGTGTAGGTGTGAGGACATGACAGCATCCCTGTCCAAGGCCACCAGATTAGGGGACGACTGAACTCCACCCTGTTTGACATCCTGGTGATTTCAGGTCCATAAAAGTAGGCTTGGATGAAGAACAAAGCACAGAAAAAAAGAAAAGAGAAGAAAGAACAAGGCCCAGGGGCGCCTGGAGGGCTCAGTCATTAAGCGTCTGCCTTCTGCTTGGGTCATGATCCCAGGGTCCTGGGATCGAGCCCCACATCAGGCTCCCTGCTTGGTGGAAAGTCTGCTTCCCTTCTCCCACCCCCCTGCTTGTGTTCCTGCTCTCGCTTTCTCTCTCGCGCTGTCAAATAAATAAATAAAATCTTTGAAAAAAAGGAAAGAAAGAAAGAAAGAGCAAGCAAGGTCCAGAGGGGCCAGGTCACCTGCCCAGAACCCTGGAGCAGGGGAGGAGCCGGCCTCAAATGCAGCCAGGCCTGATTTGTGTCCTAGCCTGACCTGGTCTCTCCCCACCCCAGACTGGGCACGCAGGAAAGAGGGAGGGTCTGGTGGCGCCAGCCCCAGGGGTGGCAGGGACTGCAGAGGGTCTGGCCATGGGAGTGTCCCTCCGGGCGGGAGGGGCTGAGCTGCCCGCCCAGCGTCCGCCCTGTGCCCAGCTCTGCCGCCGGCAAACATCCCACCAACAAAGGCTGTCTCTGTTAAAGGGACAGGCATGTCTTTGTGGCCCTCCCCCGACCCGCTGGTTTCATTCGCCTCCTCGCCCACTCGGGACTGGCCTGGAGGCAAGAGGGGCTTCTTTTTTTCGTTTTTAAAGATTTTTATTTATGTATTTATTTATTTGAGACAGAGAAGGAGAGAGATAGGTGTGAGTGGTGGGAAGGGGCAGAGGGAGAGGAAGAAGCAGGCTCCCCACTGAAGAGGGACACTTTCCATGAACGCCCCCAAGAGGGGCTTCTTTAAGAAGAGTGTTTTGGGGCATCTAGGTGGCTTACTCAGTTAAGCATCTGCCTTTGACTCGGGTTATGGTCTCAGGGTCCTGGGATCGAGCCGTGCATCAGGCTCCCTGCTCCGTGGGGAGCCTGCTTCTCCCTCTCCTGCTCCCCCTGCTTGTGTTTTCTCTCTCTCTTGCTCTCTCTCAAATAAATAAAATCTTTTAAAAAGGGAAAAGAGTATTTTCTTTGTCCTTTCTGTTTTACTTTTTCAAAATATTTGATTTCCCAAGAGGTTAGTGCAGGGAAAGGTTAGCACAAGGGTTAGGCATCCCTCACACCTGTACCAAGTGGCCAGAGACGGAATGGAGGCTAGAAGGCACCTGTTACCTGAACCAGGTGGTGCTTGGCAGGGATGACCCCGGCAGAGAGAGGACTCAAGGGAGGGAGCGGCACTGAGAAGGTGGCTCTGTGTCCCAAGAAGCAGAGAGAGGAGACTAGGAACCCCCCCCCCCCCCAGAGAGAGAATCCCAGAAGCAGGAAACCATTCTCGGGAAGGGAAAATTAGCAAGTTCCTGGAAGAAAAGGCGGGAAATGTCTTTGTGATAAAGCTGAGGAGGAATTTTCTGTGCAAAACTTCACACTGAGCTGATGAGTTTGGCTTCATCATCGCTAAGAATGTAGCTCGCTGGCGGCCACAGGGACGGCTGACCGGGAGCCGCGCGTTGGCAGCGGCGGGACCCACCCAGGCACACGCTCCTAGCAGGCCCGGTGGGGCGTGCCCTTCCGCGGGGCCCGAGCTCTCAGCGAATGTCCTAGTAAGGCAGAGTGTGCTGGACATTGGATTGTGTCCCCACCCCCCGGCTCATACAGGACAGGGTCCTTAGGTTGGGCCTTAATCCAACATGACTGCGGCCATTGTAGTGACGCTGGACAAGTGCGCTCGTCCCGGGAACGTGGAGGCAGAGGTGAGGGTGGGTCGTCTGCAAGGCGAGAAATACCCGCAGCAGTGGGGCCGTGAAGTAGCCGGGGCACCAGCCCCGCCAACACCGTGATCTCAGCCCCGCTGCCCCACTCCTGCTCTTTGACCCCTGCCCTTGAGTGCGCTTTGTTACGGCCGCCCCAGGGGAGGCACAAAGTGATTTTTTGCCTTTTTGACCCAATTATTGTACAAAGCTGCCCTGGGGAGGGGGTCTCTTGGCTCCTTTGCAAGGATCAGGCTTGGCGCACCCCATCCCCCCACGCGCGCCCGGTCCGGTGCAAAGTCCCAGGGAACAACCACCTCATCTCACTCCACCCAGCCTTGGCCTCGAGCTGAGGCCCACGGCCAGGCCGCCCCAGGCAGCGCTCTCCGTCGCCGCGCCAGCCGCCCTGGCCCCTCGGGAGAACCCGGCCTCCGTGCCGTGGCTGCTCGGACCCGGGATCCCGGCGGCCCTTCTCCCTGAAATGAACGAGGGGCCCCGTCGCTTCAAGGAGCACAGGGGCCGGCGTCGTGGCCACGGTGAGTCGGAGCGTCCGTGTCAGGCGTGTGGAGCCCCACGCGCGACGCGTTTTCAGGCAAGTCTCTCGTGGCCCAGCCCCAGGCTGCAGACAGGGGCCGGCCACACGTGGAGAGGCACCCACAGCTGCAAACACGGGGCTCCCGCCGTGGCCACGCGGGTCGGTCAGTGCGGGGTGACTCCCGCCCCTGTCAAGCGGGCCAACGACGCGGCCTCAGGGCCCGAGCCCGGCCGCCCAGCGAGGCCACTCCCAGAGTCTTCTTCGTTTCCAGTCGTCGTAAAATACACAGGACATAAAACGTACCATCTTCCCCGTCCCTAAGCCCACGGCTCAGGGGTACGAAGCACATTCACACTGTTGTGCGGCCGTCCCCACCATCCGTCTCCAGAATTTTCCATCTTCCCAAACGGAGACTCTGTCCCTGTGAGACACCGACCCCATCCCTCCCCTGGCCCCGGCGCCCACCGTCCACTCTCTGTCCCTGCGAATCTGGAGACTCTAGGGACCCCATCTGGGTGGGATCCTGCAGTATTTGTCCCTCTGTGTCATATTCACTCCGCATCACATCCCCCAGGTCCATCAGCTATGGCCGGTGTCAGCGTGTCCCTCCGTGGGACCGAGGGACAGGCTGGTGTGTGGACAGACCACGTGTATCCATCCACTCACCCGTCGATGGACGGGGGGGCTGCTCCCGTGTGTCAGCGGCTGTGAACACGGGTGTGCAGCGTCCACACACGTCCCTGCTTTCGATTCTCAGGGTACATAACTAGAAGAGGAATTGCCCGATCACACGGTCATTCCGTTCTCAATTTCTGGAGGAACCGCCACGCCGTTTCCCACAGCAGCTGCCCGGCTTCCATTCCCGCCGACTGTGCGGGATGCGGGGTCCACC